TTGGGCTAGTGACCATCGACTCAGCCCTTTAAAAGTCTGTCTTGAACTATTGACCATCGACTCAGCCCTTTAGAAGTCTGTCTTGAGCTAGCGACTCAGCCCTTTAGAAGTCTGCCTTGAGCTAGTGACCATCGATCAGCCCTTTAGAAGTCTGTCTTGGGCTAGTGACCATCGACTCAGCCCTTTAGAAGTCTGTCTTGAGCTAGTGACCATCGACTCAGCCCTTTAGAAGTCTGTCTTGGGCTAGTGACCATCGACTCAGCCCTTTAGAAGTCTGTCATGGGCTAGCGACCCCCGACTCAGCCTTTTAGAAGTCTGTCTTGAGCTAGTGACCATCGACTCAGCCCTTTAGAAGTCTGTCTTGGGCTAGTGACCATCGACTCAGCCCTTTAGAAGTCTGTCTTGAGCTAGTGACCATCGACTCAGCCCTTTAGAAGTCTGTCTTGGGCTAGCGACTCAGCCCTTTAGAAGTCTGTCTTGGGCTAGCGACTCAGCCCTTTAGAAGTCTGTCTTGGGCTAGCGACTCAGCCATTTAGAAGTCTGTCTTGAGCTAGTGACCATCGACTCAGCCCTTTAGAAGTCTGTCTTGGGCTAGCGTCTCAGCCCTTTAGAAGTCTGTCTTGGGCTAGCGACTCAGCCCTTTAGAAGTCTGTCTTGGGCTAGCGACTCAGCCCTTTAGAAGTCTGTCTTGGGCTAGCGACTCAGCCCTTTAGAAGTCTGTCTTGGGCTAGCGACTCAGCCCTTTAGAAGTCTGTCTTGGGCTAGCGACCATCGACTCAGCCCTTTAGAAGTCTGTCTTGTCAAGATAATATTCGGAATAAGTCGTGCTGGTTGAAAAGATTGGTTGAGCAGGCTTATGAACGTAGGTGTGTGAGGATGAGTTGATTGAGGATGTGAGTGTATGTGTGAGGGGGTGGGTGGGGAATGTGGGTGTGTCTCTTAAAACGGTTTCACGTTCACAAGGAAGATAACTCTCATCTAAACAATTTCCGTTAAATGTCAATACGCACAAGCCAAGCCTCGACTCAAATCCGCGAATACATTTTTTTCGCTCTTTTTAAATATGCTCTTTAAATATGCTCTTTTTAAATATGCTTAGTATAGGAGTTTTCTTACGAGGTAAAAGTTCATTTAAAAACTAGTTTTATTATGAAGTTAGTAGCAGGAAAATTAAGACAAATTAAAAGGTTTTTTTTATAGTTCATGAATTATTTACATTCCCACTATGGAAGGTGTGCTGTGTGTTATGTGTGACGTCAGAGCGGAACCCCCACCACCCCATCCCCTACCTGTATTAGCGTGAGTCTATGTGTGTTGGGGGCTCACGCGTCTACACGTCAGGGCTAGACACGTTGGTCTGAGAACTTCAATGGACCGGTGGATTTGGGAAGTTAAAGGGGGGGGGGGGGGGGGGGGGAGGGCGGGTCTGACATTTTGTTTCCGGAAGTATCAAAATTCTCATGCTACTTCTATATTTGCTATTTAAAAATTATTTTTTTAGCAAGTCCCGCAAGTTTTACTGCTATAGTTAGACTACAAGCTACAAATCTAGTGTTGTTACACTACGATTAACCTCACATTTCAAACAAGCTTAAATTAAAACCAACGCAAAGGTCTTAATGAGTGTTTCCCTAGCAACGGTGTCACGTTAAAATGTTCCCCTTCTTTTAGCTGTAAAAATTATGTACAGGTTCCCCAGACTTGTAAAAACTTGAATTCCAACTCAGTCTTAATATTACAACATTACATGGTTCACCATAAATGACTTCACTATCGGAGGAATTCCAGAACTTTTTCACTATTAGATTATGTACATTTTAAAAGATAGACCAAAAACTATTCAACAGGTTTGTTTACTTTAGGATTATATTTATAAGCCGAGCCAATAGAACATTATGACTTTGTATACATTTATCCACTAAAATTATCCAGTAGAGTTTACCCATTTAAAAAAAAATTTAATTGAATTTCAGTCAATTGTCATTCAGGTTTTGTATGCTTCAGCAGCTCGTATGCTGTTAAATCGGAACGACGGTCTCAAATGCTGTAATATTTGAATAACTGTCTCGTATAGCGTAAGAGTATAACGACTGTCTTGAAAAATGTTATGATGTCTTGTTTGCCCATTATTACTATCTAAACAGAAATAATATTAAATGTTTGTATGCTAGTCATTATTATATTAGCTCTTCTGTTTAGATTAAATGAATAATTTTAGAGCCATATCTTAAAAAACATATTTTGCTGAAAACAATTAAAACAATAATATCTAAATCACCGTAGGGAATGTTAATGTCATTTGTTTTTACACTAAATAAGCATATCCTTGTTGGGAGCGGTAAGCGGTGTTGACAGAAAACATGCCCTTTGTTGTAAAATAAACCGTCTAAGTAAAACAATACTTATTTTTATTTGGGATGGCTACACAACATGGGCGCATCCAGATTGTTCTTCTTGGGAGGTAAATCTTAGTCACGTTGTGGATAACAATTATATATTATACAATAAAAAAAAACACTAGTAGAAGACTAGTATGATTTTAATTTGAAAAGTCTAACTTTAATTATCGTGATAAAAAACTACCCCTCCCTACTCACACAGTATTACAACACTTCTATAACTACCCCTCCCCACTCACACAGTATTACAACACTTCTATAACTACCCCTCCCCACTCACACACACACACTAAAACACTTCTATAACTATCCCTCCCCACTCACACACACACTAAAACACTTCTATAACTACCCCTCCCCACTCACACACACTAAAACACTTCTATAACTACCCCTCCCCACTCACACACACACACACACTAAAACACTTCTATAACTACCCCTCCCCACTCACACACACACACACACTAAAACACTTCTATAACTACCCCTCCCCACTCACACAGTATTACAACACTTCTATAACTACCCCTCCTCACTCACACACACACACACACACCACAACTAAGCTATGTTATGAAGACCATGTTATAAAGCCCATTTTATTTCCGTATGCACCTATATAAATGTAGGAAGTTTGTGTTGAATATGTTGTAGCCTATATGACATATGCTGTAGGTACTTTATGTATGTGTAGCGTGTCTATGTGTAGCTCGATACTGTCACGTGTTGGTGTAGTGTCAGCCCTAACCCAGGTGTCTGCCTGCACAGTTCAAAACTTGCTGATTCTAAGACACCATTTGAATAATATGTCGGCCTGCATTATTCTTGGCTGAAGTATCGCACACTAATTTATCAACTACCTTACAGTGAGCCTTTAAATTGTAAAAGTGATACGCAACACACCTGCGATGGTGTCTCCTTTTGCATAATGATTAAGCCACCTCATGCAAGCAAGTAACAGCTCCCCCCCCCCCATGCAAGCAAGTAGCAGTTACCCCTTATGCAAGCAAGTGGCAGTTACTCCCACCCCCATGCAAGCAAGTAGCAGTTACCCCCCTCTCCCCATGCAAGCAAGTAGCAGTTGCCCCCCATGCAAGCAAGTAGCAGTTACCCCCACCCCCATGCAAGCAAGTAGCAGTTACCCCCACCCCCATGCAAGCAAGTAGCAGTTACCCCTCCCCATGCAAGCAAGTAGCAGTTACCCCCCCCCCCATGCAAGCAAGTAGCAGTTACCCCCCCCCCCCTCTCCCCATACAAGCAAGTAGCAGTTACCCCTTATGCAAGCAAGTATCAGTTACCCCCCTTGCATGCCACCTCCGTGGAGGTATCAACCATACATTTTGCACCCTCCATGTTCCTTAATCACAGCAGCTTTAAATCTAAGCTGTCGGATTAAAAAAAAACTTTCTCTAAATTAAAAAAGCCGTGTTATATAAAAAGAGCCTTGAAACAGCCCGACATATATTGTTTTAACGAACGTGGCCTGGGCCTTAGTCCCTGTGCTCAGTGTATTTATGAAGCACAAAACTACAATACACTGTCGTGGTGTGATATCTTCATGCAGAATAGCATAGTGAAACTTTAAAAAAGTAATACAATGCGGGCCATGACACAATACAGGTGAATCATTCCTATATGTATGCACACACCTCACTCACCCCCCCCCCCCCCCACACACACACATAATACAGTGGTGCAAACGTTTCTCATGCACCAAGTTAAGAGGTGTGTCCAGCCCACACTTAACGGATATCTTTTCTGTGGCACCGTCCCACTGCCCCGGCGTGACGTCACCTTTGTACTAGGTCTCTGCTCGCTATGAATGGGACGATCTAATCCTATAACGCTGGGATTGTATGTCGATCAAGTTTAAACGGTGGGATTGGGTGTTTTTTTACTGCTTATGTACTTGTACACATGCACTCCGCGTCTTAGTAAACAATAACTTGAACTAGGAGACACCACAGGGATTAACTAACTGTTATTGGTTGAACACCGGGGTGGGGGTGGGATTGCTCGACAAATTAAAAACACAAAAAATAATTAATTAATTTAACACTGACATACTAATTAGCATGCTTAAAAAAACTAAATGCATGCTAGACAGGTTAGTCATATTTTAGTGACATAATATATCAGTCCTATCAGTTTGCCTGGAAATATTTCTCCAATATGTACAGGTGCATTCATTCAGTCCCCAGTCCCCATATGCTGATCTGTATTTACTTAGATTTGTTTGACATGTTTCTAAACTTGATGATATAGGCCTACTCCCGTTAAGGAGAGGAAGACTCGTTAACGCCCCTCCCTTCTTTTTTTTTCACTGGCACTCACTAAGTCAAATTGTGAAGTCGTATTTATTATCACGCCTAAATAGGAGTAGAACAAAAAAGAAAGAGGTCTGAAGTGGCAAACTTGACATAAATAGTAAGCATTCGGCACTTGACCGTTTCTTGCAGTGGCAACTAGAGCTCATTTTAGTTCAGGGAGAACTGCGCATACACCACGCATGTTTTCTGCCTACGTGAAGTTTTTTGTGTACATAAAGAGTTTCTCATTCAATTAATATATTTTCATATCACCTGTCTATCTTTGCAGGTTGAGTTTCGATAAGAAAATAAAACTTCTCCAACGCGACTGGAGGTAGGATTGTTATACAAGCCCGCAAAACTTGACGGGACACCGCTTGTCTTTTATTCAAGGGAAATAAAAACAGAAACACCATGCAGACCGCGGAAGATCCCGATTGGGACGAGGAGGAAGAGATGACTACGACCGAAAGAGAGCTCGCAGACGACGCACAATGGAAGTTAATTCAAAAGAATACATTTTCTAGGTGGGCTAATGAGCACCTGAAAACCGTTAATAAGCAGTTGGCTGATTTAGAGTCTGATTTTTCTGATGGATTGCGACTTGTTTCTCTAGTCGAAGTGTTGTCAGGAAAAAAATTCAAACATGTCAACAAACGACCCAACTTCCGAACCCAAAAGCTTGAGAATGTCACCATGGTCCTCAAGTTTTTGGAAGAAGATGAAGGAATTCGAATTGTCAATATCGGTAAGTTATTATGCTAATCCAGTAGAACATATTTTCTTTTTCTTTGCGTATAGCGTAGTAGTAGATCTCTAGTACTTCACTCACGTATAGATCTACTCAGACTATATGTGACTCTACACTAGTCTAACTAAGTCTACACACTACACACTCTCTACTCACTCAGTGAGTAGACTTACTGTCACTGTCTGTGACTCTAGATATTCTAGCCGTTCTAGCTGCTAGACTCTAGAGTACTCTAGACTTAGACTCTAGATCTAGCTGCTGCTAGACGCCTAGAGAGTGATAGAATCTACATTGCTACAATAATCTAGAATAGATCTATCTACATCTTAATTAATAATTGTGTGTAATTAGGCCTATATTTACTATAGGCCTATTATTATTAATATTTATTTTTAGGGCCTAGGTTTTAATTTATTTAGGCCAAAATATTTTTTAATAAGAATTTTAATAATAATACTTTTAATACGGCCTAATTTAATTAATTTCAGAATATTAGATCTAGAATATCTAGCCTAAATAATAAATTTAATATGATTAAATAGTAAATAGGCCTAGGGCCTAGGCTAAGTTTTCAATAATTACGAATTGTTGCTTTGCTAGGTTCTATATAAAAATATGTTAGCCTAAATACTTTTAATATTAGAATCTATAAAGATATGATTAACTGCCAAAATATAGATTTTACCTAGGCTAGAGAATATTACTATTATTATGGTCAATCACAACTTTTAGAGTATTGACCTTTATTAATAATTTATTAATTAGTCCTAACTAATAGAATAGTTTACGAAAAAATAACTGAGTGACACTATATTTCATGTATTGGCCTTAAAGTGTTAAATAAACTAATACTGTTAAGTATGGTTACTATACTAAAACATTTAAAAGCTGATAATCAACATATGGATTTTAGCATTTAACAGTTCTTAGTTTATATTTGGCCCATCCAGCAGGGATTGAGATCAAGTATTAGCCTAATAATTAAGAATACTTGTTGAGTAATCCTGAAAATAAATAAAATAAATGCTAACAGAGGGGTAACATGTAGTATCATGGCAATTAAAAAGGATAGGTCCTATCACTGTATTTCAATAATTATAGTTCTTAGATTGTTTTTAGGTCTACTTGCATATTAACTATAATTGTCAATTATATGGAAAATGTCCTGTATTTATTTTTAGAATTGAATTGTGCCTTTCATTAATTAAAGCATTAAGATAATTCGTAAAGTGATTATGTTAGTAATTCCAATGACATATAAACTCTTTGATTTAGGCATCAGGCTGAAGTAACATTAGTGAGCAATGTTTGAGAATAGGGTCAGTTGAATAAATTAAGTTTCTGCAAGTCTGTTATTATCTGTGTCCATAACAGCTTGTGTTGGGTATAACCCATTGTTAAACTCAGACATGTTCTTGTCAAATACCTAAAATAGGTAAATTTTTAATTGATTTGCAGACAGAGACTCCAGTCTTTTTGTATATATACTTTTTTTCTTAATTCTTTGTATTACAAAAAACATTATATTTAGAAATTAACACAATTATATTAACAAATATAAAAAAAAGGAAATTTTTTGTCAACAAAATAAGTTGTGTTGAAGTTGACCATTTTGTTTGTCCATATGTGCCACAAACATTTTGCAACCATAGCCTGATGTGGGCTACAGGTACTCTAAAAAAATCAATAGCTTGAAAATAGCCTCAGTCTCATACAGCAATATAAACATGACCTATTTCTATGAGAATTTGACCCCAAAAGTTGTTCTACTACTACTGTTCTTTCTACTGGTAAATTATGAGAGTTTATTTCTCTACTGTTTCTTCGTGTATAGGATATTTGTAGTTGTTAGCTATTAGAGTTTTAGTGAGTCTACTATAAATAAATGATGTGTAGCTCAGCCAATGATAGCCTACAGTGATGTTATGAGGATGTCATGATGTGTAGTTGAGCCAATGATAGCCTATAGTGATGTCATGATGTGTAGCTTAGCCAATGATGGCCTACAGTGATGTCATGATGATGTCTGTACATGATTGTCTGAGTGACTTTCCCTTTGTGGCATAGCTTTTGTCAAGGTGCATTAAGTGCAGGCCTAGATAAATGATATCAGTGATGTGATTACCTAGGCGTGGACTGTCCTCTAGATAGGTGGGTGTGATTGTTGTGCACTGTCCTCTAGATAGGTGGGTGTGATTGTTGTGGACTGTCCTCTAGATAGGTGGGTGTGATTGTTGTGGACTGCCCTCTAGATAGGGGATGTGATTGTTGTGGACTGCCCTCTACATAGGTGGGTGTGATTGTTGTGGACTGTCCTCTAGATAGGTGGATGTGATTGTTGATGTTCTCTCACTGTCTGATAAGTGGGAGCTGGTTTTGTCACCCTCATCTAGCACACAGATGCTGATGTTTCAGTCTAATCTGATGTTGTCACATACTAAATGCTTGTTGCTGTCAGGCTTCTTGTTATGTGCAGCCTAGATTTCGTGTCTCTACTTGATGTTTGGGTATTTAAGGCTCATATCTCTACTTGGTGTGTGGGTAACTAAAGGTTATATTCTATCTTTATAGCTTCTCAAGCTCCAGTATACTGACATTTTTTTGTACAAGCTAGTCTTTGATAAAACGTAAAGATACGTCACACATCCTAAAGACTTCTCCCCTACCATATTAGGAACACTAGCACAGAGTGCGTCGTGTTGATACAAGGACTCTCCACAAAAAGCCCCATTTGGAAACCATTTCTAAAGATTCCTGTTTTCGCCTTGACAAACTTGTCACTCTGATATTAGGAGAAATAAATTATACGAGCCAAATATCGGAGGTGTGACCTCTCACCCCATTACTGTAGCTGTAGAAACTGCTATTCATGAAGCTACCCAAATATAGTATTGCTGACCTCGATAAACTATCTCCATTAGACTTGTGTCAATTGATTCCATCGTATTATAAACATGGTATATGATAGTTATACTTGTCCCTTTGCTAATCTACAAGTTCCTAGTACTGAAGTACGTGTAGCTTGTATGGGGCGTAGTTTGCTGAGGAATCCTTTCATGGACCAGCCCTCGTGTATACTCCCATTCTCCCCCTCCCCCATTACAACTTTACTAGTTCACACGACCAGATTTGTCAAGCGTAAAAGTCATAAGAATTCAAAGTTATGGAAGTTAAACCGTCACACAGGCGCCTCGAAAGGCCGACTATAGGGCGTGTTTTTCAGCCGAGTCCGCTGTTTTATTTTTAGCCTGGAAATGTGATAAGAGATTATTTGCTTTCGCTAAACATCGGCGATCAATGAACATCTTTAGCACAGCTACATGCATTATGCGCATAGCCAACAGTTTTCACACAAACCGCAACAGTAACGCTCAGAGATAGTCCCTAAAGTACGCTGTCCGCTGTTTGCGATTTATTTACTTGTGTTTAAGTACATTTACTTCATAGACTAAAATAGGCTTGAACGTTTTCAGTACGTCACTCATCATTTTATCTGCGACATCATTGAGTCTGTGTAGGCGATGTATTTCTATACAGATACTGTTTTATTTTTATTTGGTTCGGGAAGCGCCACACCCCCAAAAGATTCCTGAAAGAGACACTGCCGTTGCTGTCAATGTGGTGTTAAGTTAGGTGCCTCAACACGGCAAGCCTGTACTGGGCTGATAAAAAATTGACGAGGCTGGGTCGAGGTGTATACCAGATTGTGGTGGTAGCTCTAGGGCCTAGTCAGTTGAATGTGACGTCAAGTGTGATGTCAAGCCCAGTGTAGGGCCGGAAATGGGGGACAGCCCAAAGGATTAGGCCTAACTAAGAATGCGCTAACCCTATGGCGCCTACATCTTGCTGGGTTGATATTCCACTACAAATGTCGGGGGCGGTGTGTGCCCCAATCAGCCCCGGCTTAGGCCTGACAATGTCCCACACAGTGGTTGAGAAGAATGTTATCTCTGCCGTATCCAGTTCTTTAAGCCCGACTGATGGCTTGTACCGATACCGTTGTTCTAGTCCGCACGGGGTGGGACGACACGCGCCGTAGATCACCTCAAGTGGCCTGGGCTGCTAGGTATGGGAGTAACGGTCTACCGTGGCGGTGCTGGGCGGTACCATCTTGTAGCTACAATATGGGATTTGGGTTTGATTAGGCAGGGAAATAATTTGGAAAGGTATGGTGCCGTGATTGAATTAGGTCATGGCCAATTAACGCCGATGTTTGAGATGGTAATTAAGTCACGGTTCTCAGGCGATATAACTGGGGGGGGGGGGGGGAAAGCTGGTTCGGGATTATAGACTGCTATGAATTCTACTAGTTTCACTTGCTAAAAGCTTTGGTAATGTTGTGTGTGTCATTCAGCTGTGTTTTCTATACAGAATGGCTCCACCTAATCTTTTAGTACTTTCGACTGTCGTAAATATTGTTGTAGGTACCGCAGTCAACTATGTGTTAGCTATACAAACTGGTTCTACCCAATCTTATAGTACTTTAGGTTGTCGTAAATAGTGTTGTGTGTGTCATTCAGCTATGTGTTAGCTACACAAACTGGTTCTACCCAATCTTATAGTACTTTAGGTTGTCGTAAATATTTCTGTAGCATTCAGCTATGTGTTAGCTACACAAACTGGTTCTACCCAATCTTATAGTACTTTAGGTTGTCGTAAATAGTTCTGTAGCATTCAGGGCGTGAAGCGTGTGCCACATGATCCTGTTTGTCAGCATATTATTATGTCCCGCTGTTAATTCTCATAGTATCCCCCACCAGTTGCCTGCCTATGCTTTAAACCTCGGGGCTTCTTCCTTTTGATTTGTGTCTACAAACTTTTACGTTGACAGATTTGTGTATCCCCCCCCCACACACACACATACGCATGACGAGGTCTCCCATCCTTTCACACACCAACCTTATAAGGGCACTTATGATTAAGCTGGGGCCAACTTGTTTGTCAACTTCCAATATAAAAAAAAAATTGTTGGCTAAAAGGGGACGTAACTATTCTAAGAATCCGTGTTTAAATACTCGTCTGGCCGTCCCACGAGTTCTCGCCCCACCTAGTGGTGGCCAACGTGGACGTTGTATGGCTGACACTTGGTGTTGACACTTTATACAATGGTGTATGCACTTTATATAATGGTGTATGTCGTACAGAAGCCTTGCTTATCATGATATCTAATTTATAGCTTAGAGTTTTTCCCTCTTAATTATCATTAAGTTAAAACAATCTTTATTTTGTTTAAAGAGAGAATAATGGTATGTTTAATTAGTACAGTATTTACTTCCTTTTTAAGTGTGTGGTCAGTATTGTGTTGTGGACAGTACTGCGTTGCTGCCTTACTATTTTAATATGACTACGAACATTTCAGGTTGTGATTTATTCCGGGCCAAATATAAGTCGCTATTTCATTACTTTTCGACTAGAGAATCTTATCTAGACTTTATCTGTGGCATTTTTTCATGTCAACAACACTTTGTAAGCCCGCATACATATACGTGCTGCTTCCCCCCCCCCCCCCCCTCCATCCACCCGACCACGAGACATTGCTCCTTGGACGGGCAACCGGTCGTGTGTGTAAAATTCCGGCTTTCCCTGAACTGGTGTAGAAGATTAGCTTGGTCTCGGCGTCTCAGCATTGAAGGATTACAATCAACGATACTTGTGGCTTTTCTTTTAGAAGAAAACGTCTACCAATCAATCTGTAGTACATTTATTAGACAACCTCATCGAGGTGATCTGATGTCCACTGGTTTACCTGAATAGGCCAGTGATTTGTACTGATGAAGTAAAGATTAGACCTCACGGTTCATTGGGCAAATGGTACTGGTAGTGGTGTGTAGATGTTGTAGGCACCAGTCTTAGCAGTAGAACCAGTGTTTGACACATGGCATGTTGACACTTGCTGTTTGATCTGAGCTTTACAGCAGTATGGATCTTCACGTTCAACGGTTGCGTCACGCCATTCATACGGACGTGGTGTCCACCAGGATTTCAATCATTACCGCTTTCACTTGACCCCCGGCCGACCAGCGGCTTACCTGTCTATTGACCGTTCACCTGTTGAGGGGCAGGCAATCACGGTCTAGGTTTGACCGTTGAATACTAATATTGTGCTAATCTACGTAAGTGCTTCACCGGTCAAACATAGCCGGTTCTTGTCAGCCGGCGAGTTCCGGCTAACCTGTTGACGTTATGAATGGAGATCCGACGAGCGTACCTCGGCCCGACTAAGTCGACAGATTTATGTTAAGTAGTGCTCCACTGGGTCCCCTCAGTTAGGTGAAGTAGAGAGCTGAACCACCCATGATCGTAAACTCTGCTGGCTAATCTTATGTAGCTGCCGGGCCGTGTGGGCTGTTAATACACATTTTTATACTGCACCGGTCGCAGTGTGGTGTCGATATGGTTGACGCTGTAAGGGCGTTTTCAGCGCGTCGTCTAGCTTAAAGTGTGGGCAGGGCTAGAAGACATTTCCGCTGAGGTCACTCATTACACTCGGGCCGGTGATTGCTGCACTTTATCACTGTCATAACCATATTCTAACCTCATACCCCCCTCTCTCACCCCCACCACCACGTTACCTTACTGATAGTTTGAGTGAAGTAATAAAAGATGTATAGATAATCAATTAGTAGAACTTGTATTTAAATCACATTTTCATGTGTTGAAAATATTCACTGGCTCCGATTTATTTTTTCTGGGCACATTAATTTGGAAATCGTTTGCTCTAACTATGGTATTTAGCTAAAATATTTCCGTCTTGTCGAGTCTGAGATACATTGTATTATGTGTGAACTTGTCCCTCTTCAGGCGGTACCATATTGTGTCACTACTGAGATAGATTGTATGATACATGATCTTTTTGTTCCCCAGACAGTACCGATATTGTGGACAAAAAGCTGAAGCTGATCCTGGGTCTGATATGGACCCTCATTCTCCACTACTCCATCTCCATGCCCATGTGGGAGGGCGAGGAACCCACGCCCTCAGAGAAGGCGCCCACGCCCAAGCAGAGGCTGCTGAACTGGATCCAGTCCAAGTGTCCAGACCTGCCCATCAACAACTTCACCACCGACTGGAATGACGGCAAGGCTATTGGTGCTCTTGTTGATGCTGTGGGACCAGGTCAGTTGTTTCGTCTTGGTGGCATCTGGCTTGTTTGTGTAGTCTAGTTGGGACCTGCTGCTGTAGAGGTGTTGTAGTGGTGCTCCACTGGTGCTGTAGAGGAGCCCTACTGGTGCTGTAGAAGTGCCCTACTGGTGCTGTAGAGGTGCCCTACTGATGCTGTAGAGGTGTTGTAGTGGTGCTCCACTGGTGCTGTAGAGGTGCCCTACTGGTGCTGTAGAGGTGCCCTACTGGTGCTGTAGAGGTGCCCTACTGGTGCTGTAGAGGTGCCCTACTGATGCTGTAGAGGTGCCCTACTGATGCCCCTACTGGTGTTGTAGAGGTGCCCTATTGGTGCTGTAGAGGTGCCCTACTGGTGTTGTAGAGGTGCCCCTACTGATGCTGTAGATGTGCCCTACTGGTGCTGTAGAGGTGCCCCTACTGGTGCTGTAGAGGTGTTGTAGAGCAGCCCCTACTGGTGTTGTAGGGTGCCCTACTGATGCCCCTACTGATGCTGTAGAGGTGCCCTACTGGTGTTGTAGGGTGCCCTACTGGTGTTGTAGGGTGCCCTACTGGTGCTGTAGAAGTGCCCTACTGTTGCCCCTACTGGTGGTGTAGAGGTGCCCCTACTGGTGTTGTAGAGGTGCCCCTACTGATGCATGTTTGTTGTTGCAGGTCTGTGCCCAGACTGGGAAGACTGGGACCCCAAGAAGAACAAGGCCAATGCTAAAGAGGCCATGGATGCTGCAGAGAAGTGGCTGGATGTGCCACAGGTAAGCCTACCTGTCTCTCTATACCTGTCTCTCTATACCTGTCTGTTTATACCTGTATGTGTTCATGTGCTCACCCCAAGGTTGTGTTTGGTTGGAGAAGAGAAAACAAGTTCCCTCCCCTGGCGGATAACCGTTCTTACACAATGTAATAGCCCAGGTAAACAAATCGCTCACAGAGGGGTGGGGCGGGTGGGGAGATAAGAGGGAGAAATATTTTTCTGTTGCTTTAGTTAATCGCCAATACTGATTGATGTATGATGCAATCAATAGCATCTGAAAACAAAAACAGCTAGGAATGTAGAATGGTCCTGGGTACATTGAGGATGTTTGGGTGTATTCAAACATTCCAGAAATATTAAACCTGAGCAGGTTGGCACCTGGTTAGTTCAGGTTGGCACCTGGTTAGTTCAGGTTGGCACATCATAAGCTAGAGCAGGTTGGCACATCAAAAGCTAAAGCAGCTTAGCACAGCATAAGTTAGAGCAGGTTGGCACAGTAAAAGCTAGAGCAGGTTGGCACAGTATAAGCTAGAGCAGGTTGGCACAGTAAAAGCTAGAGCAGGTTGGCACAGTAAAAGCTAGAGCAGGTTGGCATAGTTGGTTCGGGTTGGCACAGGACGTAAACTACCTGTAGAAAGAGGGTGTGTAAAATAAGAGCATTAGCCTTGGTATTCCTCCCCGTGTGAGCCTGTAGACAGCTAAGCTGATTCCAGCAGTAATCTGGCACGGGAATAATTGAACGCCGAGAACACATTTTGGTAGCAATGTTGGGGGGGGGGGGGGGGGGGAGTAGGGTCGGTACCGAATTTTTTCCTCCGGTACACGTCAGTGCTACTGAAGGAGCCAGTTTTTAAATGTCGTGTTCATTCCTTTGGTAGCAGTTTCCTCGTTGGGTGAATTTATGTCTTGGGTTATCGGGGAGTGTAGACAGGGGATGGTTGTAGCACATAACAGGGCTGTCACGAGGTGGGGTGGAACACAACTTTCCTGTCACGTGACCCGAGAGGGCGAGTTCAAACGAAATTAGCACGAGAACTGCTGATGTGCTGGGGTCGGTGTTAATGGGAGCTTGGGGTAGTGTACAGCGGCTAGAAATGTGCCGGCTCATGTTCTACTGTTAGAATTGTAGAAGGGGGGGGGGGGTGAATTAACTTGTTATTATTGTTTAGTATGCTAGTCGGGTATAAGCTTTAAAGTCATATACTGGACTAGAGTATAGCAATAAATCCCTTTCCACACAAGTTTGGTGTGGTCTAGTGCCGGTGGGCCATTAGCGCGGCTTTCTGCTAGACTGCGTACCCTAGGAGTGGAGAAAACACCTACACGCCCCCTCCAGTACCCAGGTCAAATATAGCCCGTGTTTACTTACACCCCCCCCCCCCTATAACCAGGTTAACCTACCTTTCGCTTTCTTGTGTTATTTTAAAGAGCTGTTTTTGTAGGCTACTAGAATGTTCAATGGGATTAAAAGCGAATATAAATGTTATCTTTATTCAACTAGAATTATGATCAGTATTAAACTTGAAATTTGATCTTATTCAACTAGGCCTAACTGTATTAAGCTAGCCTGGTTGTTAACTAGTATAGGTCTCATTTCATGTTGTATGGTGCCCCACCTTGCTGAAATGTGTGCTGTTATTATAGCGTCACTAGCAGTGCACTAGTGTGTTTGTTTTCTTTTGATTCTGAGTCAAGTGTGTTTGATAAAAGCTGTGCTGTTTATCATGTCATTAGCTGTGTATGAACTGTTTTTATAAGCCTCTAATGAAAACTCCTAACTGTTCTCACGGGAAAATATGCCGCTGTAATATGCTCCCGCTGTAATATGCTCTCTGTGGCGTTACATCATTAGTGTCATCTGGGGGCTTTAGGTGACATTACATCATTAGTGTCATCTGGGTGCTTTAGGTGACATTACATCATTAGTGTCATCTGGGGGCTTTAGGTGACATTACATCATTTGTGTCATCTGGGGGCTTTAGGTGACATTACATCATTAGTGTCATCTGGGGGCTTTAGGTGACATGACATCGTTAGTGACATCTGGGGGCTTTAGGTGACATTACATCATTTGTGTCATCTGGGGGCTTTAGGTGACATGACATCGTTAGTGACATCTGGGGGCTTTAGGTGACATTACATCATTAGTGTCATCTGGGGGCTTTAGGTGACATTACATCATTAGTGTCATCTGGGGGCTTTAGGTGACATTACATCGTTAGTGTCATCTGGGGGCTTTAGGTGACATTACATCGTTAGTGACATCTGGGGGCTTTAAGTGACATTACATCATTAGTGTCATTTGGGGGCTTTAGGTGACATGACATCGTTAGTGACATCTGGGGGCTTTAGGTGACATTACATCGTTAGTGTCATTTGGGGGCTTTAGGTGACATGACATCATTAGTGTCATCTGGGGGCTTTCGGTGACACAACATCGTTAATGTCATCTTGGGCTGTTGGGTGTATGGGCTTTAGGTGACATGACATCATTAGTGTCATCTGGGAGCTTTAAGTGACATTACATCATTAGCGCCAGCGTCTTCCTGCACGGAAGGGGGGAGCTATCGGTTGTAGTAGTTTTATGGCTTTAGGTGACATTACACCATAAGCGTCATTACATCATTCTGTGGAATAGGGGGGGGGGAGGGGGCTATTGGTTCTTATAGGCTAAAGAAAATGCAACGTTATCTGGGGATGTAGCTTGTATTTAATAGGATGAGTAATGTTTTGTATGAGGGGGAGCTATAGGCCAGATGGCTTAGGAATAGATAACAACATATCAGTAGCGAATATCATCCCATTGGTCGCCGGTCTGACCCGTGTCCAGTCACCTGTCAACAAATATCTCATCTCAGTTGTATTGGTCTCCACCAGCAAGTTTGTACCTTAAGTCTTGCATTGTATCTTGAAGGATTGTTTAGTCGCCAGATTGGTTTATAGGGCTGTGTTTGCTCTATCGGGCCCTTAAGTTGGCAGTAGCTGGGTGATCGGCTCACACAGACAGACACACACACAGACACACAGACAGACTCACACAGACAGACACACACAGACACACAGACAGACAGACTCACACAGACAGACACACACTGTGTTCTACCATCATGTAGTAGAGAAACTTTTTTTTACTTTGATCAAACAAGAGTTGCGCCGTACAGCAACATTGACACAACACTTAGGTTGTAAACGGAGACATTATCCGCCAGTTGCTGCATGTCAACAGCTGACGCTGCACAATTAGAAATGTCTTGGGTGTTGAAGTGTTGAGACGACGCGGGGATGTTACCGACGGAAGACTCTCGTTGACTGACCCCAGCTACTTGCATGCTCAGCACTTTGCCGGGCCGGAACCATCTACTGGGCTCATTGTGCTCGCGTCAACAGATAACGTTACTGCTGTTGACATCGCGGTTACAGAATACACTGTCCCTAACAGGATACACAACGCGCCGGTAACATCAGGCTAAAGTAGGGCCGTTAGCATCACACAACAGTAGGGCCGTTAGTGTCACACAACTGTAGGGCCGATAGTTTTACACAACAGTAGGGCCGATAGTGTCACACAACAGTAGGGTCGTTAGCATCACACAACAGTAGGACCGTTAGCATCACACAACAGTAGGGCCGTTAGCATCACACAACAGTAGGGTCGTTAGCATCACACAACTATTGGACCGATAGCATCCCACAACAGTAGGACCGTTAGCATCACACAACAGTAGGACCGTTAGCATCACACAACAGTAGGGCCGATAGCATCACACAACAGTAGGGCCGTTAGCATCACACAACAGTAGGGCCGATAGCATCACACAACAGTAGGGCCGATAGTGTTACACAACAGTTGGGCCGTTAGTGTTACACAACAGTAGGGCCGTTAACATCACAGAACAGTAGGGCCGATAGTGTTACACAACAGTAGGGCCGATAGCATCACACAACAGTAGGGCCAATAGAGTTACACAACAGTAGGACCGTTAGTGTTACACAACAGTAGGGCCGATAGCATCACAGAACAGTAGGGCCGATAGTGTTACACAACAGTAGGACCGATAGCATCACACAACAGTAGGGCCGTTAGCATCACACAACAGTAGGGCCGATAGTGTTACACAACAGTAGGGCCGATAGCATCACACAACAGTAGGGCCAATAGAGTTACACAACAGTAGGACCGTTAGTGTTACACAACAGTAGGGCCGATAGTGTTACACAACAGTAGGGCCGATAGTGTTAGATAGCATCACACAACAGTAGGGCCGATAGCATCACACAACAGTAGGGTCGTTAGCATCACACAACTGTAGGGCCGTTAGTTTTACACAACAGTAGGGCCGATAGTGTTACACAACAGTAGGACCGTTAGCATCCCACAACAGTAGGGCCGTTAGCATCACACAACAGTAGGGTCGTTAGCATCACACAACTATTGGACCGTTAGCATCACACAACAGTAGGGCCGATAGCATCCCACAACAGTAGGGTCGATAGTTTTACACAACAGTAAGACCGGTAGCATCACACAAGAGTAGAGCCGCTAAAACAAGGGTGACAACTCCCAGCGATGTTTAAATAGCAGCACGCACCAGTAGCGGATGATGTGTTACAGATGTGCCAGGATGTGTACCGGGTACCTTCACCTGTGTCCCGGGTACATTTACCTGTGTCCTGGGTACCTTTACCTGTGTCCCAGGGTAGCCACCAGTTGGGCTAACATCTATTCAAACATGGCGCCCCATATGAGAGCTGTAGCATCTACCTGTGCTTGTCTCAGCTGAAGAGAGCACAGGTGTGCAGCACACAGCTCACTGTCAGCCAGCTAGTGGCAAGTAAAACCTCACTAGCTCCCCCTCACTGGTCTTGTCAACATCCCCACACTTTTAATTACACTGCTTACCTAGGCTACACCAAGCTCTACCTAGCCTGTTCACTACGTTTTTAAAGGAATACAAAAATGTTATCTTAAGGGTAAAAACTGCTGACTGTGCAAGTTCAGACAGGCAGAAGAGTTAATGAACACACTATTTGCCAACTGTACATAACCATCTCACACACTAGTTTCCTCACAACTAAAAAGGTAATTTTGAATGGGAGTGGCCATCTACATGGGTAAAACAAGTACTAAACATTGCTGACACACCAGTGATTGCTCATACACCAATGATTGCTCATTTAAAACATAGTATATCTTCTGTAAACAGCATATTTAAAACTTATCCTCTGTACTGCAGCACATATAAACCTAGTGTATCCACCTGTAGAAGCACACCCATGCCTTTGGTTTTACCTAGCCTACACAGTGTTAATAATCCAGATTCATGGACTTGACAGATGTGCCTCAGGACAGTTAAAAGATTGATGTGAAAACAGATTATGAAATAAAAAATGACTGTATAAACAGCACACAAACCATAAGAGTTTTCACTCAGATAGGCTTTCAACATTAAATATGCAGACCTTTTCTTTCTATACAATAAACATCTAGCATTACCTGTTGATTGGGCATAGTTATGGTTGGGGTTAACTTACATTTCTACCTATGCATGTTGTTAGGTTTTGGATCAATGTTAACACACTTGTGAGAAAAAATAGAAAATGAACCCCTCATTCTTTAGTGGATAGCTTGAAGTGTATATTGTTACAGTAATCTGACAAAAGAGGGATCAATTCACTTGTTTAGAGCAGTAGCTGGCCCAGCTAATCTTGTAAATCCTTTTAAAACAGCTGGCCTCTATGTGCAGGTTGTAAAACCACCAGCGTGTAATGTCAGGGACCATCTGTTGTTTAATGAGTAATCAGTTAATTCCACCATTTCAAAGTCAATTGAATCATGGGGAGTAATCCATAGAAAGGGAAGCTACTGATAGTTTTCTACTTAGCTACTGATGTCATAAGTTTTAAGCTCTGAAATATAGTCTTAAGTAGAAGCACATTGTTACACATACTTTTTTAATGTATTTTTAGTAATCTACATTCAAGCTACCCAGCAATATGTAAGCTGCACTTTCTGTCATAGACATACTACCCATGCATACACAGACACTCATATTACACAAAATTCATGTCCTACAATATTTGTAGTTTGTAACTTTGAGTTTGGCACATCTATTCCATGGGTTTCCCCAGGTTGATAAACTTTTCAGTAAAAAGTCATATATTTGTTTTATGTTGCTAAACCATTGATGTTTTCATTGGTGTTGCTATTGATTAGTCTATTTTAGCCATATATTATTTCCAATGTGTGTAGCCTCAGATATTTCAACTATTTGTGTGTGTATAAGTGTAGCCACAGATAAGTCTATTTTAACTATATGTCTGTGTATAAGTGTAGCCACACATTAGTCTCTGTATGTGTTAGTATCTTTGTTGCCACTGTTTGAATCCATGTATTTGTTTGTATTTTACAGCTGATCAGACCTGAGGAGATGACCAACCCTAAGGTTGATGACCTCAGTATGATGACCTATCTCTCCCAATTCCCCAATGCCAAGCTGAAGCCAGGCGCCCCTGTCAGGCCAAGACTGAACCCATCCCGTGTCCGAGCCTACGGACCAGGTCTTGAGCCAACAGGAAACCAGGTCGGAGCACCAGCTCGCTTCACCGTGGAAACTTTCAGTGCCGGCAAGGGCAGTCTTGAGATCATTGTCCTCAACCCCAAGGGAGCTAAAGAAAATGTATGCACCTTTTTTGTATTCATCTAAATGTATTTTATTTTTATAGTAGCTGAGGTGATAATTGTCCAGTACAAAATCTAATTGCTTACAGTGTCAAGTATTAACAGAAGTTGTTTTTCCTCAGTGTGAAGTTGTGTTTAACAATGACAGAAACATGACCTACTCATGTGTGTATGTACCAACACAAGAGGGAGCTTACAGGGTTTGTACATTTATTTATTAGGTTTTATTCAAGCTTCTTATTTCACACATGTAAACCTAACTTTAAAGCTACAAAATATAAAGTGTAGAGCATCACAAGTTAATAAAATACTTCATTTAATGACCAGAAACCTAACTTTAAAGCTACAAAATATAAAGTGTAGAGCATCACAAGTTAATATAATGCTTCATGTATTGACCAGAAACCTTACTTTAAAGCTACAAAATATAAAGTGTAGAGAATCACAAGTTATGTAATACTCCATGTATTGACCAGGTGATTGTCAAGTTCAGCAACAAGGAGATTCCCAAGTCCCCATACACTGTGCAGGTTGAAGGGGCAGCTGGTGACCCCACCAAGGTCACTGCTGCTGGACCTGGTATTGAGAAGACTGGTGTTATTGCTGGCAAGAAGACCTACTTTGAGGTGTACACACAATGTAAGGAATGTCTTGCTTGTTTTTTTTTTTTTTAAGTTGTCAAAATAAGTTTTGAAACCATTCTTTATTTCACCAAATTTACCACTTAAAGTTAAAGAATTCTGCCGTAATTTAGCTTTCACTTTATGAATCATGCTAGAGCTAATAATAAAATTTCATATTATTTACATAACTCAGTTATTTGAAATGTAATACTAAAGTGAAAATTCCCTTGCATATTGTATTGATTCACCACACTCCTCAATTTTGATTAGCTGCTGGCAAAGGCACAATTGATGTTGCCATTCTGGACCCCCATGGCCACAAGGACAAAGTCCGCCCTGCCATTAGCCCAGTGGTCGGCAAGGAGGGAACCTACCTGGTTGAGTACACCGCCATGGATGCTGGACTTCATTCAGTCAATGTCTTCTTCTCTGGTCAACAGATCCCTGGAAGTCCATTTGGTGTCAATATTGCTCCTGGTAAGTTTATTCATGGCAGCATTTTCACTTTGATTAGTTCAAACATTTCGTATCTAGGGGATTTCTCATCTTGGTTTCTTTTAATAGAGACAATTCTGGGAAACTTTTTTATATATTGGTTGATACACAAGCTAGAGTATGTATCTAAACAAAGATTTAAATAATCAAAGATATTTGTTTGCCTTGTGAAGCAAGGGAAATAACTTTTTAAATCGGTGAATACAAATAAATTCTAGTGTCATGAAAATAATTTTTTTTAGCATCTTAAATTAATGTATTAGAAAAATATGTTGATGATTATTTAACAAGAAATGTGAGTAAGCAGGTAAATATTTTGAACTTGTAATTTTTTTGTCATGAATGACATTAATATTTAAAACATCTGGTTCCATGTAAACATTCTCAACAATTTTTAAGAAAAAAAATATTATTATGTGAGTAAAAACAATTTTCATATTTTGTATTCAACTTTTGATGTCACTGTTTTTTTTTTCATACTTCTTTTTAAAAATTTCCATTTTGAAGCCTTTAAATTCTATCAGTTTTGTTTCATTAAATGTCGGCTCCTCCATGTTTTGTGCATGCCAGTACCAGCACTATTTAAACAAGTTTTTATTTACTAGTAGCTATTAGAACTAAATATTTAAATACAAAAAGAAAACAAAATGAATTTTTTACCAGACATGCACATGACAATTTCATAACAAAGGTTTACATAGTCGTTTAACAACTATTGAAAATGCTAAGTAGATTAAAAGATTAAACTGCACGGTAGGTGAATTTTTGTGTGTGGTTTGGATTAGATTAGGTTATGGCTTGTTAAGTGGATAGCTGATTTCATCCTTCATTTTTTTTGTTTCATCATCTTAAAACAGCTAAGAGTAAGTAGTTTGCCATTTTTAGACTTGAGATTCATCCCTTTACTGTCTGCATGACTGACGTCTTTGGTCCAACAATTTCTGCATTTGGTCCAACAATTTCAGCATCAACCCTTACATCACCATCATTGTCTGCATGACTGACGTCTTTGGTCCAACAATTTCAGCATCCAACCTTCTATCACCAACATTGTCTGCATGACTGAAGTCTTTGGTCCAACAATTTCAGCATCCAACCTTCTTTCACCAACATTGTCTGCATGACTGACGTCTTTGGTCCAACAATTTCAGCATCCAACCTTCTATCACCAACATTGTCTGCATGACTGAAGTCTTTGGTCCAACAATTTCAGCATCAACCCTTACATCACCAACATTGTCTGCATGACTGACGTCTTTGGTCCAACAATTTCAGCATCCAACCTTCTATCACCAACATTGTCTGCATGACTGAAGTCTTTGGTCCAACAATTTCAGCATCAAACCTTACATCACCATCATTGTCTGCATGACTGACGTCTTTGGTCCAACAATTTCAGCATCAACCCTTACATCACCATCATTGTCTGCATGACTGAAGTCTTTGGTCCAACAATTTCAGCATCAAACCTTCTTTCACCATCATTGTCTGCATGACTGACGTCTTTGGTCCAACAATTTCAGCATCAACATTCTTTCACCAACATTGTCTGCATGACTGACGTCTTTGGTCCAACAATTTCAGCATCAACCCTTACATCACCATCATTGTCTGCATGACTGAAGTCTTTGGTCCAACAATTTCAGCATCAACCCTTACATCACCAACATTGTCTGCATGACTGAGATCTCCCAGACATCAGCTAAATATTATCCAAGAAGATAAAAAAGACATGTTTAAGCTGTCTAACCCAAAGGCCTGACCTAAACATGAATTGCACGTGCTAGCAAGTTATAAACATTACGATTATGTTTTCTTGTGTTTCCACATGGACAGCATGACCCCACAAAAACATTGTCTCATCATTTCTTTATTATTAATCAGTTCTATTCACCTTTTATTTCAGACTTTGGTATGTTTGTCATATTTTGCATTATTCCATCATTCGGAATTTACCCTACTAACAATTTAAATCAAAAGCCTAAAAAAATTTCAGTCATAACTTATGACCTTTTTTTGTAATGTTGTTAACTACCAAATTTATGGTTGATATTAATTTTTTGATATGATCAAACTCTTTAAACAAAAAAATATGAAGACAATCTCTTAAATTGCTTGCCTAAAGGAATAGTAAAAATGTGCTTGGTTTGTCTTTCTCAACCACTTCTTGCTTGAGATGGATGTCAATTTTGGACACACTTCTTGCCCTTTGTAATCCTCTAATATAATCAAACAGAATATACCCTTGTCATACTTCTACTCTTGTTAGATGTTGTTATGTCTATGCCACTGAGGTGTCCTATAATACTTGATGTGTTTCTAGGAAGAATACAATGAATAGAGGAGTCAATTGAATGAAACACCCAGTGGTATTTGTTCTATGGTTGCTTGCTTGCCTTTCTTTAGTTAATTTAGACGTTTAAACTTTGGTTGGCAATCACTTTTTTAATGTTTATAACATTTTTGTTAAAGATATTTTCTTACACACTTAAGAAAACTTAACTTCAAATCTCATACTTTATCAAAAGTAAACTTTTTGCTGTTAAATGTTCAATTCTAGATTTGTTTGACTTAACCATTTCAAGTAAAGAATTTAATGAATTAGTGACACTAGTCACCTATAAATTATTTTAGTAATATGCTGTTTCTGCATTATCAAAATGCTTTTTATTTTCCTTTCTTGTCTATTTATACAATAAAATGTAATATCATATTTATAATTAAGTATCATCTAAGTGACCAACACAAGTTCTACAGTAAATCTGATTTGTTGAATAGTAACTTGAACACAAGTAGTTAAAAAACAATTTAGCATGTATTGTTGTGACTAAGCCTTAGATAGAAAATTCTTAGTTATGTTTTACAAATACTAATTTTTTTTGTTAAGAACGCCTTTAGACTGATTAAACAAATACTAATTTTTTATTTAGAAAGTAGTTGCCGTATTTTAAAATCCTAATTTTGTTGTTGACAATATTTAGTTCCAGTTGATGCAAAGTTTGACTATTCTTAATTCTTTACTTGCAGCATCCAATGCTAAAGCTTGTTACGCTACTGGACGTGGTATCCAGCCTCGCGGCATCAGAGTTAAAGACAATGCTGTCTTCTACGTGCACACCAAAGGTGCAGGGGATGGGGAGGTAGCTGTACAAATTTTTGGACCAGGTGAGTTAAAGAAATGGACACCAGGACCTGCCTTAAATAGGTTTTTTAAATGTAAAAAATTAACAGCTTATCTGAAACTAGTGGATTTTAAAAGTTGTAATGACATTGCCTTTTAAGCATACATGATGTTTAAAGAGATTATGTACAATTTGCATGTAACATGGTGTTGTAATTTGTTGAACAGGTGGTGTTGAAGAGAAGTGTCAGATCAAGCCAGTGAAGGGAGAAGAGGGAGTTTATGAATGTATCTATGTTCCATCCAAACAAGGCAACTACATCATCAATGTCACTTTTGCTGACCAACACATCAACAAATCCCCCTTCAAGGTAGGTCACCATCACAGCTGACCAGACATTAACAAGTACCCCTCCATGTCACCCTTATCTATCACACATCACAAGAAAGCCAACAAAAAGGTTCGCTAATAGTGAAATCAAATTTTCCATTTGTATTGTTGAATCAAAAAATTCATTATAGACAAGTTTTGTGTGGACATTTTTATAACTGAATGTACAGCTCTACAAGACAGTTTGTATATCAAGTGTTTGTTGAATGTAGGTTGAAGTTGGCCCATTCTGGAACACAAAGATTAGAGCCTATGGCCCAGGCTTGGAAGGAGGAGTGGTCAACCAGCCTGCAGTCTTCACTGTAGAAACCAACGGGGAAGTTGGTGCACTTGGTATGGCGGCTTTTCTCACACTTATTGTTCTCTAACTTATTTATAATATGATGAAATTTCTAAACCAATTCTTGTAATGGCATGTAAAATAAACTCTTTAACACCTGTTTGAATAGGATTCTCCATTGAGGGTCCATCTCAGGCTAAGATTGATTGCAAGGACAACGGTGATGGGTCAGCTGATGTGACCTACTGGCCAACCCAGGCTGGAGAGTATGCTGTCCATGTTCTGTGCAATGACCAGGACATCCCCAACTCTCCATACATGGCCAACATCATCCCAGCCCAGCCCTTCAATGCTGGAAAGGTGTGTAGATATGCTTAAAACTGTACTCACCTTATGTTACTTTTGGGAGCTTTAAATCCCACTGCTGCTATTTCTCCCTGAAGTCACAGTCCCATAAGTGGATAACAGGATATGCTCGGCATTAATCTAACTTCAAAGTACATGAAAAGTTTTATTTAGCCACTACTATAGTACATTGTGTAAGGGTTGGAAAGAATGCTTCATGAATAGGAACAAGACCTAATCACCTACTCCAGCCCTATATTTACATAACCATGTATTGTAGGTGATTGCTAAGGGTCCTGGCCTGGAGAAGACTGGAGTCCAGACCAACAAAGTGGCCGAGTTCACTGTTGACACACGTGCTGCTGGCAAGGCTCCACTGGTCATCAGCTGCATGGACGTTGACTACAAGCCAGTTAATGTTGAGGTAAATACCACATCAGATTTATCAGCTGTCTCTAACTCGCTGTCTGTATTCACAGTTCACTTACATATGGCCAACCGAGGTAATTATTTTTTAAAACTTTACACAGGTGAAAGACAATGGCAATGGCACATACACTTGCCGCTACCAGCCCACAAGAAATGTCAAGCACACCGTTACAATTACTTTTGGTGGTGTCATGATTCCTAATGCACCCTTCAGGGTAAGTTTTCACCTTGATCATGGTATGTCTGAGGGACTTGTCATGTTGTACTCTGCATACCTTAAGTTGAATATCCTTTAAATGTCAATCATCAAGTCCAGTTAGTGCTATAACCTAATGCTCAGATATGTAATCAAAGCACCACATCAATGCAAGTGATTACATTTCTCTTCTACTTGATGGCAGTCAGTCAACTGATGGTGACCCAAAATTGTATTAAGTTCAATGATTTCATTCATCCAGGTGTATGTTTCTGAGCCAAGCAACCCTGCCAAGGTGAAGGTCTTTGGGCCAGGTGTGGAGAAAGGTGTTAAAACATTTTCACCAACTCACTTTGTGGTGGACTGTAAAGATGCCGGTCCAGGTAGGTGTTGAACACAATCACCAAGGGTTTTCTGTATTTTAATGTAATCAGTAATACACTATCTGGTAAAACTAAGACGCTTGGTTCATATAAAATTGTAATTATTATTATTTACTGCTGTTAAAGTTTGGATTCATAACCTCAACATTCTCTTGTGTGCAGGTGATGTTGCCGTTGGTCTGACTGACGAGCGCGGCGTTGACGTACCAGTTAAAACCATTGACAACCAAGACGGCACGTTCACCGTGGAGTACGAGCCCAAGAGCCCAGGCACGTACACCGTGCTGGTCTACTTCGCCAACAAGGAGGTGCCCCAGAGCCCGATCAAGGTCAAGGTTGAGCCCAACATTGATGTCAGCAAGGTTAAAGTGATTGGTCTTGAACCAAGTAAGTCTGACGTACACTGACCAATGTGTATATTTACCTGAAAAGATAGGATGTCTGAAATTGTTCATGTTTTGTTTTGTTTTTTGGTTTTGTTTTAATAAAACCAAGTGCTTTTTAAAAGCCTGAAAAAGATGTGATGTTATTGTGATGGTTGTCCATGTGGAACTATATATATCTTGTACAACCCAATTTTCTAGCCATGCCAATTGGTGTGCCCAAAGACATCAGCATTCTCTCCAGGGGTTTGCCTAAAGCAGAGACCAAGGTAAAGATAGTCTCCCCTACCAACCAAGTCCTGGATGTCCCCACCACCGCCACAGGTGACGGGTCCAAAGCCACATTTGCTTTACTGGAGCCTGGCCCTCACCAGGTGCACGTTACCTATGGTGGCGCACCTGTGCCAGATTCACCTTTCAGGGTCGATGCCATCCAAGGTCCCCCCAAGGTGAAGGCCTATGGTCCAGGGTTGACCGGAGGACAGGCCCTGCAGCCTGCTGTGTTCACCATTGACACCAGGGAGGAGAAAACACCTGGGGGACTGGGCCTCTCTGTGGAGGGGCCTGCCGAGTCCCAGATCCAGTGCAAGGACAACAAGGATGGCACCTGCGAGGTGACCTACCTGCCACCGGTCCCTGGACCTTACAATGTCAATGTGACCTACGGTGAACGCCCCATCCCAGGCTCCCCCTTCAAGGCCAACATCACGCCCGCCAAGCCTGGCCTAGATGTCAGTGGCATCAGAGCGTATGGACCAGGACTTGACCCAGCTGGTAAACCACCAGAGCATGGAACGTCCAAGTCTGAATGACCCATGACTAACCTACACTCTCTTCACTACTGCAGCCTAACTATATTATTTTACCTCTTGACCTAATATCATGTCTCGGATTTGTTTATGTATCTTAATCAGAGCAGATTTATTTCTCAGTATATTTTATTTTAAATAACTGGGTTTAGAAGTAAAAACTTTTTTGATTAACTAGCTGTCCAAAATTTAGTTGATCTGTGTAATCCTTTTCACTCACAGAGCATGTTTATATGCATGGCTTAAAGAACAAAATCTAACTTTAATGAGACTTTTTTTTAATAGAATTCAGTTGGTCAATGTGGTAGAATTAAGATTATATTAGCTGCCATATTTTACATAACATTTCATTACCAAAGAGGCGTAATGCAGACTAGTCCAAACTTGAGATTACAAAGAACAAGTTGTTTCCCCTGTGTTAGTGTTAACTCTAAAACGTGTTATGTCCCTTTTGTCAGTGTTGTAATAGTCATGCTGTATTTTACACTGCATGAGTTAATAACTTTTTGCTTATGAATGTTGTCACATTATTTCTTTTTCAACAGCCAAATTGTTATGCAAATGTACACATATTCTCTACATTTACTTATAAGTTATTTTTCCTCTTGATGTTGTGTAACTAGACATTAACAGATACCTTAAAAAAAAAATTTCTCCAGATAGTTATAATATTTTAAAAAAAAAAGTGACAAATGTTTGTGGTAGGCTGACAAAATGTTGAAATGAGAAAAATGTTTATTAACATGTTGAGACTGACAAGCTAACCCCAGGTGTGTTCTCTACAGGAGTTTACCTGGAGTGTCTCAACGAGTTCACTGTTGATGCCAGGTCTGTCTCACCCAATGCCCAGGGTAAGGTCAGAGCTATAGTGACCAGCCCAAGCGGTCAGAAGACAGACACATTGGTCAAGAACAATGGAGATGGCACGTACAGTGTTCTCTACACACCATTTGAACAAGGTAAAACTTTTTAAAAAATGTCTAACATCAATTTAAAAACTTCTAGAGACTTTTTAATTGATACTCTTAAATTGTGTGAAAATGGGATGTGTACAGAAGATCCTAAGAATGGTTGGTTGTTTAATACATGTTGTGTTAACACAGGTCAACAGAAGATTGATAGATTGGTTGTTTAATACATGTTGTGTTAACACAGGTCAACAGAAGATTGATAATACATGTTGTGTTAACACAGGTCAACAGAAGATTGATGTGACCTATGAGGACCTCCCCATCCCAGAGTCTCCACTAACTGTCACAGCTGTGCCAGGCTTTGATGCCAAAAAGGTCAAGGCTTACGGTCCAGGTATGTGGCTAGCATGTCACTCATTTTCTCATCTCATTAGTTTTGTGTCCAGGTGTGTGGCTAGCATGTCACTCATTTACTCATCTCATTAGTTTTGTGTCCAGGTATGTGGCTAGCATGTCACTCATTTACTCATCTCATTAGTTTAGTGTCCAGGTACGTGGCTAGCATGTCACTCATTTACTCATCTCATTAGTTTTGTGTCCAAGTGTGTTGCTCGCATGTCACTCATTTACTCATCTCATTAGTTTAGTGTCCAGGTACGTGGCTAGCATGTCACTCATTTACTCATCTCATTAGTTTTGTGTCCAGGTGTGTGGCTAGCATGTCACTCATTTACTCATCTCATTAGTTTAGTGTCCAGGTATGTGGCTAGCATGTCACTCATTTACTCATCTCATTAGTTTTGTGTCCAGGTATGTGGCTAGCATGTCACTCATTTACTCATCTCATTAGTTTTGTGTCCAGGTATGTGGCTAGCATGTCACTCATTTACTCATCTCATTAGTTTAGTGTCCAGGTATGTGTCCTTGTTATGTTTACTTGTTATAAAATAAAATTACTAATATTAGCAAATGTTGTCATTGAAATTAATTGTACAGGTCTGGAAGGTGGTATAACTGACCAGCCTGCTGTTTTCACTGTGGACATGAAAGGGGCTGGCAAGGGAGGGCTTGGCCTGGGCATTGAAGGTCCAGTTGAAGCCCCCATGCAGTGCCAGGACAACCACGATGGCACTTGCCAGGTGGTCTATCAACCTACCAAAGCTGGACCTTATGACATCACTGTCAAGTTTAATGAACAGCATGTTCCAGGTAGGGGCTCAACATTGTGGTACCTGTGTGCTTATCCTACATGGAAATAGGTTTAGCTGTTAAATATCTCATCCCTCACACATTTCTGACTGAACCTTTGAACTGACCAACAGGCAGTCCATTCCGTGTGGACATCAAGAACCCTGTCAACCCTGCTAAAGTCAAGTGCTACGGCCCAGGTCTAGATAGTGCCAATGTCAGGGCTGGAGCCCCAGCCACTTTTACAGTAGACACCACAGAGGCAGGGGAAGCCCCTCTTGAGGTCACATACACTGACAAGACAGGTAAAAGATTTCAAACCAAAATGTGTTTTTAATCATTTCAATTTATTCACTAGCGGTAACAACATCATACAAGTGCTCAAATTGTTTTTTTAAAATATGTACGACTTAATTTTTTTAGCTGTTTAAACAATTAACAAACTTTAAAAAAAAAATTTAAACTTATTATGTCAACTTTAAACATATGAATCAAAACTAAAACCTTTTGGAAGTAAATTTATTCACTTCTACAAAAAAATGTGAAAATAATTTAAAAATTCTAGCCTAATCAGTTGACCACTCCACACAGGTGCTAAACGCCCAGCCCAGCTTGTACCTGTGGATGATGGCATCTATGAGGCCACCTATGTCCCCACTGCTGAAGGACCATGCCAGGTGGAGGTCAAGCACGCCAACCAGCAGGTACCCCACAGTCCATTCCGGGTCAATGCCCAGCCAGGTGTTGATGCCAGCAAGGTGAAGGTTACAGGACCTGGTGTCAGTGGCACCACACCTGCCAGTTTACCTGCTCATTTCAAAGTTGACACCCGTGGGGCAGGAGATGCCGACCTGGAAGTCCTTGTCAGGGTATGTAGGTTAACTTACTTAACAGCAAAAGTATTCTCAATCCAACTGCTGATAGTTTACCTGGTTATATATTTATAATAAAGACTAAATATTTCTTGACAACTTACCTTTAATATTAATTATGTAATCAACATGACCAGTAATATCAGTAAAGTAAACAATGTTTTTTTACATGACCAGTAATATCAGTAAAGTAAAGAATGTTTTTACATGACCAGTAATATCAGTAAAGTAAACAATGTTTTTTTACATGACCAGTAATATCAGTAAAGTAAACAATGTTTTTACATGACCAGTAATATCAGTAAAGTAAACAATGTTTTTACATGACCAGTAATATCAGTAAAGGAAATAATGTTTTTACATGACCAGTAATATCAGTAAAGTAAACAATGTTTTTAAATGACCAGTATATCAATAAAGTAAACAATGTTTTTACATGACCAGTAATATCAGTAAAGTAAACAATGTTTTAGTTTTACTGAATGTAATACAGCGTCCAGATGACACCTACATCCGACCCTTCATCCAAGACAACAATGATGGAACCTATGACGTTGTGTACACACCTGAGGATTTGGGTGTCTATGATGTCACTGTCAAGTATGGAGGACAAAACGCCCCAGGATCACCTTTCAATGTTAAAGCCACACCTACAGGAGATGCCTCTAAGTGCAAAATTACAGGTGAGATCTTCCTATATCTATGTTAATTTTACTGGCTCCAGGAGTTAGTAGAGTTAGAAAAATTGTTCAAACTCCACTCAGTGCAGGGTTTTATTTAAAGCTGGGGTGTGTGTAACAACTAATTTATTTTGTTCCCGCCAGATGTGTCACAACTAATTTATTTTGTTCCCACCAGATGGAAATGACCGTACTGTCCCAGTTGGTAAGGAAACTGTCATCACTGTTGATGCCTCACAAGCTGGAGTTGGTAAGGTGACATGCAGGATTCGCTCCCCTAGCGGCAGCGACATTGACATCGACATCATCGACCAAGGTGATGGAACCTTCTCCATCTCGTTCACACCCCAGTTTGCCGGCCCCTACACCATTGAGATCAAGTTTGGTGGGGAGCTGGTGCCCAATGGAAGCTACACTGTTGAGGTGAGTACAGTGTCAACATGTGCATGCCCTGCAGGTTGTTGTGAAGCTATCTTTGAGTTTTACATTCTGGCAGTTCTACATAGGCAGGAAATATTTTTTTTATTTTAATGGCTATAAATGGGTATCAGAGAATATTTTCTACACTTATCTAGACAAAAATTGATTTTCTTTAATGTGGTTTGGCTGGTCCACAATTAAATCAATATTTTGTTCTCCTTTTGATTACTTAAAATACTGAACCATCTGTTGATATAAAGGTAGATTATCTAACTATCATTCACGCAACTTTGTGCTGCAACTACTGCAAGCTATTGCTAAAGAAACCGCTATACTAGGATCCAGATTTGTCTATGTGTGACACTTTTATGATTCTTTAACTTGCTAAATCATGCTGCTGAAACTTGATGCTCCAGGCAGGACAGGTGTAAAGTGCTTCACTTCTCTTATCTGGGCAGGCATCAGCCTGTGGTAGGATAGTTCTGTGATAGGATAGTTCTCCTGTGGTAGGATAGTTCTCCTGTGGTAGGATAGTTCTCCTGTGGTAGGATAGTTCCCCTGTGGTAGGATAGTTCTGTGATAGGATAGTTCTCCTGTGGTAGGATAGTTCTCCTGTGGTAGGATAGTTCACCTGTGGTAGGATAGTTCTCCTGTGGTAGGATAGTTCTCCTGTGGCAGGATAGTTCTCCTGTGGTAGGATAGTTCACCTGTGGTAGGATAGTTCTCCTGTGGTAGGATAGTTCTCCTGTGGTAGGATAGTTCTCCTGTGGTAGGATAGTTCTCCTGTGGTAGGATAGTTCTCCTGTGGTAGGATAGTTCTCTGTGGCAGGATAGTTCTCCTGTGGTAGGATAGTTCTCTGTGGCAGGATAGTTCTGTAAACTTTGGCTAGCAGACATTAGCCTGTTGTTAAAAAGCCTCTATACCCAAGAATTTAAGTGTCACTCCGTGAGACTGCCTCTGTAAATTTTACCTGAAAAGTAGTTACCTGGTGTGCAGTGTGCTATTACCTGTAGCACATTACTATGAAAAAAAATCCTAGTTGTTAGTGTTATAGATAATTTTCTTTACATTACTTAAGGTAAAAATGTGGAAATAGAGTGGATTGGGAGGAGGGGGTATAAAATATCCTACCCACACTTTCTTTCTCAGGGTTTGTCTCACCGATCTCTCCCCAACCCACCCCACCCCTCCTTTTAAATCACTGAAAGCACCCATGAATCCCCTGCCCCCCCCCCCCCCCCTTCAACAGTTGGCTGGTGTCACTGAGATAAAGGCTGATCTCTGCAAACCATCAGATATGCTTGGCTATCTTCTTTGCTATTCTCTACACAGCTTCTAAATGTTTCATGTGTTAGCTAGCTGGTTCCCTGGTACTTTAGGTACATAGGATGGTTGATTCAGTTCATCTTTGATGTTGTGATTTATACTTTTTCTTACTATGTGGGATTCAGTCTTGAGCTTCTGTGTGTTAAATGCCAGAGACCAGAGTAATTTTAATGTTACCAACCCTAAGATTGTTGGCTTCATTATGACTCATCTGCTTGTGCAATAGCTTTAAGAGAAAGGCAATTGTCAAGTTTAAAATATTGGCATTGTTAGCTCCAGGCTGTAGGCTCGCATTTTTAACCAAACTGATGTAGAACTGATGCCAGAAAAATTGTCTCTATCTCTGCCAATTCTATTTTAACAAATTTAACAACTAATGAGTTTATGCACCATTTTTCCCCATCCACTTCAACAAACTCCTTACTAATGCTAAACACATGAATATAGTTTCTACTGAATTGTATTGAATTATTTTAATAGGAAAATATAACAATTTACAAAATATACACCACCTCATGAGTTATATGTCAAGTGTTTGTGGTGTAAAGCGGTCTACACTATTGTTAAAATATTTTTTTTCAAACCACTTCTCCTAACCCCCACCCCCTCCCACCCCTCACCACTTCACTCAACCCCCACACCCTCATTCTCACCTGTTGGCATGATTTGCATGAAGTTGATGAGTTGTTCCCCTTTTATGTATCTTATCAGGCAGTCCTAGAGGAGGAATACCAGGCATACCTGGCCACTAAGGTAAGTTCTTGCACCACTCAGCTCATTTCTTGCTCAGGTTTTTACTTTTACACTTTAAAATTTTTCATCTAACAAACTTTATGAATTAATTCTATTGGATCTAAGAAATACTTAGCATTAAAAAAGTGATATTCTTTTTTTTAGTGTTATACAGAACTGATGTTTCTATATATAGGAGCAGCAGCTAATCTGACATAAAATAAAATGTTTTAGGTCTTCCATTATCTTAATTCAGTGAAATAAGAAATTAAATTTCTTGCATGGTATTTGGTGTTTGAGCAGTTTTTATAATCCATCCCGTTATTGATATGTTTTTAACTACACACATGTGTCAGGTTTTAAAAATCTACTCAGGTATTTAAGTAAGTTTAAGGATTTTTCAAGTGTTGTTTTTGTTTGAACTTGAGAGATATTTGTAAACACCAACAGTGCTGTTAAAATGAATATAATAGCAGGAAAAAAATATAAATGTCATTTTATAAGGATATTACTAACTAAAGATGTCAATGGTTGAAGATGTCATGTCTTAAAATGTCATCAACTTTTTGTTCAGGTTGATGAAGAACTAATGAGGGCTGACGCTGTAGATTCCCTCCACGCCCAGGCCCCTGGGTCTGGCCTGTTCCAGCCCGTGGACTTTACCCTCCCTGTTGGTCCAATCTTCAACTTTGTCTCTGGTAAGTCAACTTTGTTTACTCTGCTGAAAGTAAAACATGAAACCTAGGTTTAGCTCTCTTACAATTTGTGTTATTTACATTTATCCTGTTTTAGTGTGGAAGGCATGAAGTTCCCATTTTCAAACCTGACGGTCTATAGGGCAAGTGAAGTAGAGTTCACTTGTTTCTGTGACCTCGGCATATAAAGAGATAGTGTGGTCAGCACTATGCCCAGCCACCTTTACTTTCCCTAACATCAGTTAGGTACCCATCTGAGTTGGGTGGACTCAGGGACGGTCTACTAACTTGAACCCAGATTCAAACTTGAGACACTTGGGTTAGAAGTCCAGCTATCTACCACTAGACCACTCCGTCCCCTATGGAAGGCATGGAGTTGAGAAAAGTTTAAGTAAACCTAGACGCTTATTTTAATATATCTGGTTTTGGCAAACTGAGATGTTTATTGTTATAAATGTTTTCCAGCCACTGTGGTGATGCCATCAGGCAAACGTGCCTACCCCAACATAGAGGACAACAAGGACGGTACTGTGACTGTCAGGTACCAGCCCACTGAGACAGGGCTGCACCAGCTACACATGCAGTACAACAATGAGGAGATTGAAGGTAGCTTATACATGATAAACTTACTTGTTACTTACTTAAAAACTACACTTGACCCATTGTTTTAGTTTATTTTCTTAATACAGTTTGTTGGTATATTCACCCACTCGATGCCTGTTTATTTAACAGCTGCTTTAATTCTTCAATACTAACATGTTTGTCTGTCTACAGGTAGCCCATTCTTGTTCCATGTGGAGGCCATTGACTCAGGCTATGTGACAGCCTATGGACCTGGCCTCAGCCATGGTGTGGTACACGAACAGGCTGTCTTCACCATCAACACCAAGAATGCAGGCGCAGGTGGGTCATCTAGTGGTCACACTTCACACCTTTTATCTGATGTCAGACTGCTCTAACCTCACTGTTGCTGTCCTTCTTGTTGAGTCAAAATGTTTTTGAATTGTTTTTATCAGGTGGGTTGTCACTGGCCATTGAAGGGCCATCAAAGACTGAGATCCAGTGCAAGGACAACGAAGATGGAACCTGCACTGTTTCCTACCTGCCCACTGCTCCAGGAGAGTACCTCATCACTGTCAAGTTTGCTGACAAGCACATCGCTGGCTCACCTTTCACTGCCAAAGTTACACGTAAGACACTACTTTCACTGCCAAAGTTACACGTAAGACATTAGTGATAAATGTGCTCAAACTTTCTAGTGGTTTACTTTGTTAACTCATATTGAAATTGCTGATGTTTCGTGCTAAAGGTTTTCCTTCTGATAGTTCAGTGGTATTTTTATTTGTTTTTCAGCTGGAGAACCCAGACGCAAGAACCAAATCATGGTTGGAAGCAGCTCAGAGGTCTCCCTCAAGGTCACAGAGCAGGACATTGAGAGCTTGACCGCAAGCATTGTATCACCATCAGGCAGAGAGGAGCCCTGTTTCCTCAAACGTCTTGCTAATGGTCATTTAGGTAGGCCACAGTTCTGGCAGCTTTAATTTATCCTACTACATTTGTTCATATTGTATTTTAGAACTCTATTATATATTTTTTCTGTCTTTTATAAAGCTCATTTTTTTTAATTGAATTATTTTTAAAATAATTAACCCTTTGCTATTTTAATTCTGGTGGTTTTTATTCTCCTATGCCAACTGTAAATATTGTAACTTGCAGATATTTTTACCTGTGTTTTTTTTCTCTAGGTATCACATTCACACCACGAGAGACAGGGGAACACCTGGTCAATGTGTACCGCAATGGTCAACACATCGCCAACTCTCCCTTCAAAATCACTGTTGGTGAGAGTGAGATCGGCAATGCCAGCAAGGTCAAGGTTTATGGCAAAGGTCTGGAGAAAGGCATGGCCAATGAGGTCAACGAGTTCATTGTGGACACACGTGAAGCAGGTGAGTGACCGGAAGATTCCAGCCAGGGCAGGTTGCTCTAGTCAATACATGTTTATACATAGATGATATGCTCACTATGGAATCGTAGTTGTAGCAAATATTATGTTCACAGCTGATTGCTCTAGTCAATACATAATGTTTATACCTTAGATGATGATATGTTGACTATGGAATCGTAGTTGTAGCAAGTAATATGTTCAGTGTGTAGTAGCTAACCATTGAACCTTGTTTTTCAGGCTATGGAGGCATGTCACTGTCCATTGAAGGCCCAAGCAAGGCTGACATTGAATGCCATGATAACGAGGACGGCACCTGCCGTGTGACCTACAAGCCCACAGAGCCTGGGACATACATCATTAACATTAAGTTTGCTGACCAGCATGTCCCTGGTAAGTCACTGCCACAGTAACCCTGGAACATACATCATTAACATTAAGTTTGCTGACCAGCATGTCCCTGGTAAGTCACTGCCACAGTAACCCTGGGACATACATCATTAACATTAAGTTTGCTGACCAGCATGTCCCTGGTAAGTCACTGCCACAGTAACCCTGGGACATACATCATTAACATTAAGTTTGCTGACCAGCATGTCCCTGGTAAGTCACTGCCACAGTAACCCTGGGACATACATCATTAACATTAAGTTTGCTGACCAGCATGTCCCTGGTAAGTCACTGCCACAGTAACCCTGGGACATACATCATTAACATTAAGTTTGCTGACCAGCATGTCCCTGGTAAGTCACTGCCACAGTAACCCTGGAACATACATCATTAACATTAAGTTTGCTGACCAGCATGTCCCTGGTAAGTCTCTACCACAGTAACCCTGGGAAATACATCATTAACATTAAGTTTGCTGACCAGCATGTCCCTGGTAAGTCTCTACCACAGTAACCCTGGGACATACATCATTAACATTAAGTTTGCTGACCAGCATGTCCCTGGTAAGTCACTACCACTGTAACCCTCCAGTACGTGGTCTAGTAGCTCTTGTTGTGGTCAAAGTTTGACCTCATCTGTCCAGGGTGCTACAGTAACCCTCCAGTACTTGGTCTAGTAGCTCTTGTTGTGGTCAAAGTTTGACCCCATCTGTCCAGTGTGTTACAGTAACCCTCCAGTACTTGGTCTAGTAGCTCTTGTTGTGGTCAAACCTCATCTGTCCAGTGTGTTACAGTAACCCTCCAGTACTTGGTCTAGTAGCTCTTGTTGTGGTCAAACCTCATCTGTCCAGTGTGTTACAGTAACCCTCCAGTACTTGATCTAGTAGCTCTTGTTGTGGTCAAACCTCATCTGTCCAGGGTGCTACAGTAACCCTCCAGTACTTGGTCTAGTAGCTCTTGTTGTGGTCAAAGTTTGACCCCATCTGTCCAGTGTGTTACAGTAACCCTCCAGTACTTGGTCTAGTAGCTCTTGTTGTGGTCAAACCTCATCTGTCCAGTGTTACAGTAACCCTCCAGTACTTGGTCTAGTAGCTCTTGCTGTGGTCATCTGTCCAGTGTGTCACAAGCTTGTTCAAACATGCCACTCTTTGATTTCCAGGCAGTCCATTCACTGTGAAGATTGGAGGTGAACCCTCAGCCAAGATCACAGAACGTATCACCCGTCACAAAGAAGCTGCAGATGTGACCCATGTAGGCAGCCAGTGTGAGCTGAGCTTAAAGATCCCTGGTGAGTTTCCTCTACCCTACATCTATACTTGTCTTCATATCATGCCAGTTGTATTCAGACTCAGCAGAATGGTGGGGGGATTCTGTAGTACAGCAGTGTTCATGGAGCTACAGTTTAGTTTAACAAGTAATTTATCTGCAGTAGAAAGTCAATGTAGACATAGGCCTACAGTACTAGGAATATCATGCCAATTACTTTCAGTTTGCTGTCTAGAAAATGGTTTTTTAAACACTTAAAAAAGGTAATTGAATCTGTGATGGCTCATTTCACAATTCATAGATGGAATGGCTCTAGGTAAAAAAAAAAGTGTTCCAACTTTGCAATGGTGTAGTTATGTTTATCTTTATGGATTTGGCAGGCTGTAGTAGCTAGCTAACTAGGATTGGCTGTAGCCAGCAACTTTGGCTGTAGCCAGCAACTTTGGCTGGCTATCAGACTGTAGGTCACAGATAAGAGACCTGCTCAAGCTGAGTCATCAGATGCTTGTGAAAAACTTTAGGTTGCACAGCACTCCTTCTGATTTATGCTGTCTCTTATCAGCTCAGGTGGATAGGGGGGGGGGTACCTCAAGTATTTTTACTCACTAAATCTAAATTTAGAACTGATGAGCCAGAAAACCTGTTCAAGTCAATTAGGTTTTTTTTTTTTTACTTTTACTGAGAGCAGTAGGCCTAAGCAGAAAGTGACTTACTTTATTTTTGTCATCCTACTTTTACTGAGAGCAGTAGGCTTAAGCTGAAAGTGACACTTTATTTTTGTCATCCTACTTTTGCATGGGCTTCACAGTTTGAAAAAAAAAAAACTATTTTGTTTTAAAACTTGTTGTAGTTTTAAAAATTTAATTTTAAGGTAGACTGTTTGAAATGAAATACTAATTTAAAAGCTATGGGGGTCTAAACCAATACCTTGCCAATACCCTGCCTTCTAATTTGGTATCACTTGATAAGCCAGTGACATAAGGAAATTAGATTTTTCAACATTAATTCAAGTAATGAAAAGGTTAAATGTGTCTCTGTAGAAAACTTAAAAGTTTGAAGTTTTGATAATTGTTTGACTCTAAGTATACTGTTATACATTGAGTTCCATATTTCAACGTTATTTAAGATCTACAGTTCCATATTCAAACATTCAGTTCAGTATTCACTCTATTAAAGTTATAGTGATTTTTTAGTTTTTTATTTATTCATACCCTGTGTATGTACATTTACAGTTCCATATACCTACATTACCTGGGATATTTTAAGCACCTGTGATTCCTAGTGTCTGGGATATTCTGGTCAGAAACAGCTGATTAGATTTTACACCACCCCTCCCCCTACCTTTGAATTACCAGGTAGACTTCAAACTCCCCCTCACAACTTTTATTCAGCACAGGTAAAATTTGCAACCTGTGCATTTCCACAGAGGAATTTTCTAAAGAATAAATGTGGCATGAAATGGAACACATTGACTTTTTAGTTACTTTACTTTCCCGCATGTAATTTAAGGAGTTCATTGGGTTTTTTTTCTTTTTGTGGATCCCAAGACAAATTCAGAGAAATATTAAAACTGATGAGTGCATCTGTTTTATTTTAAATAAGATCAATATCAGCTTCTCTCGTTTATATTTTTAAAGCAGGAACTTGTCAATTTTAAGTTTTCTTGCTTTTTCTAAAACGACATTTTTTTAAAGACTCAGCACACTTTTTTTGAGGTTGTGAGCTATTCATCATCAAAATTCATTGCCAGGGGAATACTAAAATTTAATATAACCTTTTTTAAATTACACTTTTTTAAAAAGTTGACCTTTATTAATTTTAAAATTGATAAAAATACATTTTTATTAATTGGGAAATGTTCAATCTTAAGAAAAACTCCACAGTGTTAAAAAAGAATGTTATAAATTTGGGAGTAGCTTTTGTCAGGTTCTTCCCATTATGTGTTGTGTAGGACTTGAGTTAATTGGTTATGTTTGACTCAAGTTATCCCTTATAAGCTAGTAAGGAGGACTTGAATTGTCTAAGTAAGAAAAGCTCAGGTCATGTCTGTCACTCACTCGTCCCACCCTCTTTGGTCCTGTCAGCCATCTTTAAATCTTGAGCTACCAATGACAGTAAGGCCTGAGACCTATTCAGGTGTGTTGGTGTTGTTGTCACACTGGTGTTGTTGCTGTCATATATTTCAAGCAGACATTCTTTAAACAATGTCAACAAACACATAGTAAATGAAAGATGTGTTTATTTTAGGCACCACACCATTTGACATGACAGCGTCAGTCAAGAGCCCATCAGGAGTCACAGAGCTGTGTGACGTCAAGAGCCTGGACGATTCTCATTACAGCATTAAGTTTGTTCCTAAAGAGATGGGAGTCCACACAGTCAGCGTCAAGCACAAGGACATGCATATTCCAGGTGAGTAGCAAGCACAAGGACATGCATATTCCAGGTGAATGGCAAAAACAGTTATTCACGTTCTAGTGCCCGACCATTATGTGACAACACTGTTAGTTTATGTGCTGCCTGCACATGATTTGTTTTACTGATCCATTTATCCTTACCTCAAGAAGCCCATTAGAGTTTACATGACACATGATTTGTTTTACTGATCCATTTATCCTTATTCCAGGAAGTCCATTTGAGTTTACAGTTGGTCCTATCGCTGGAGGAGGTGCTCACAAGGTGCATGCATCAGGCCCAGGTCTTGAGAGAGGAGAGGTCATTGTCCCCAGTAAGTTTTAGCTCTTAAGTCAGTTGTTGCTCTATCTGTTGGTTGTAATCAATGTATTTATGGTGGCCTCTTAAGTCGGTTGTTGCTCTATCTGTTGGTTGTGATCAATGTATTTATTCAACCTCTATCTACAAAGGGATAAAAGTATTGATTATGTTATATATATTAACATTTCCTCTATGAGTTAACAATGGCTTTGTGTGTTAACAATGATAACAATCTCACACTGTTGTTACCCCCAGATGAGTTCAACATCTACACCAGAGAGGCAGGAGCTGGAGGCTTGTCCATTGCTGTTGAAGGTCCATCCAAGGCTGAGATAGACTTCCAAGACAAGAAGGATGGATCCTGCCAGGTGTCATACAGAGTCTCAGAGCCAGGTCAGTTGATCAGCACACCTTTTTATACCTGTAACTTCTGCTACCTGCCTCTCATACAAAGTTGATCCACTCACCTTTTTCTACCTGTAACCTCTACTACCTGAAATTCCCACACTTGTACCAATGTTGAGACAAAAACTGACCTCTATGTATTTTTTTTTATCTCATCTCCAGGAGAATATTATGTGTCTGTCAAGTTCAATGATGAGCACATCCCAGACTCACCTTTCCGCGTGAACATCACTCCCTCTATTGGTGATGCCAGAAAGGTGGCAGTACAGTCTCTCCAGGACAGAGGGCTGCAGGTAGTTGTTCAAACCTCACTCACTCGCCTTTCTCTGTTCAAATAATTCATATTGCATTGGAGGAATTTCATTGGGATACAAATACAAGATTTATGCTAAAAAATTTGTTTTAAGGCTAAGCCCTTCAACTTTGAACCAACAAAACTGATACTCAAAATTTATCTTGTACTTGCAGGTGGGCAAACCAGCAGCATTTATTGTCAATTTCAACGGCGCCAAAGGAAGGTTAACAGCCCTAGTTGTCTCCCCTTCAGGATCTGAAGAGGAAGCTTTGGTGCAAGAAGTTGATGATGGTGAGTAGTTGAAGGGAGGGGTGGATTGTGAGTAGGGGGGGGGGGGGGACAATTTAGGTCATATATGTGGAGAGAACTAAAACATTTTTGTACGGTTTAATAAGTATATGTATTGTCACATACTTTAAGTTTGGCTACTTTAATGAGTTATCCAATGCATTTTATTGTATTTTTTAACATTTTCTTTAAGATCTTTGTTTTTTAAATTTAAAGGGAAATCAATTTTAAAAGAATCTCTGTCATAAATATTATATTCTTGTCATACCATAACTCTTGTCGTACCATAACTCTTGTCGTACCATAACTCTTGTCGTACCATAATTCTTGTCATACCATAATTCTTGTCATACCATAATTCTTGTCGTACCATAATTCTTGTCGTACCATAATTCTTGTCATACCATAACTTGTCATACCATAATTCTTGTCATACCATAATTCTTGTCATACCATAATTCTTGTCGTACCATAATTCTTGTCATACCATAATTCTTGTCATACCATAATTCTTGTCGTACCATAATTCTAACTTTGTCTGATACATGTGTCCAGGTCAGTACGCTGTCCGATTCATCCCACGTGAGAATGGTGTCCACTTTGTCCACGTACTGTTTGACAACTACCACATCCCAGAATCTCCATTTAAGATCTGTGTCGGCAAGATTGATGCTGATGCTGGCAAAGTGACGGCATACGGGGAGGGGCTTGTATCAGGCAAAACAGGTCGGCCATCTCGCTATAGTCACACATAATTATTTTTTTAAAGTTACTCAAAAAAACATCGTTTTAAATATTTGTACATTAATGAGGCACTACCTCCATACTGCTATACAATGAAATCATAAACTAACTTACCTCCTTAAGAGACCCTTGCTGTTTACACAATGCTTTTGGCACATGTATGTTGATTCTACAAAAATGTGTTGAAACAAAACAAAGTTCTATTTAACACAACCTCCCACATGAGAATCTCATGTAATGTGTCTTGTTGTTGTCTCCAGGCCAGGTAGCCAAGTTCATCGTCAATACAGTAAATGCTGGGTCAGGTTCTCTGGCTGTCACAGTGGAGGGTCCATCTAAAGTCAAACTGGAGTGTAGAGAGGTCAGTTCTTTAGTAGCCAAAGTTCATAGTTAGCCAGCCGTCATTTCAATACCAATGTCTTATTCTAGCTAGCCATGCCTGTTTTGAAATGACCAAAAATGTTCTACTTTATTCCATTAAATCTAGTTAGCCATCCCTTTTTTAATGTCCTTATGTTTTCTCCTATATTCTAAGTTTTATTATGTTGACCTTTAGGTTGAAGACGGCTATGAGTTCAGTTACAGTCCAACTGCTCCAGGTGACTACCTAATTTGTATCCGCTATGCAGGTGTCAATATTGCTGGCAGTCCCTTCAAAGCTAAGATTGAAGGCAAGTACAACTAAATTAACATAGTAATTTAAAAAACATAATGACAAATTCCGTAAGAAAATGTAATGGTTGTGTGTTTGGTCTAGTATCAGACTGTAAGATTAGGTAGGTAGGATATCAAACTGATCTAATGGCTGACATACTGCCTGCAGGTCAAGGCAAACCAAGCGCCATGCAAGAACACGCGTCCGTGGTTGTGGAGACAGTTACCAAAACCAGCACCACCACCAGGTTCAGCGGTATCCAGAGGTTCAGCTCTGATGCCAGCAAGGTCACAGCCAAGGGCAGTGGGTTGACCCAAGCCTTCCGTGGCAAGCCTGCATCTTTCACAGTGGACGCCTCTGGTGCCGGTAAGAAAGTTTTTTCTTTAATTGTATAGTTCAACTTTTGAATCAGTTTTATCTATTAGGGAATTAGTTGTGCTGTGAGCCTTCAAGAGATGTGTTTGTGTTTCAGGTAACAACATCATGTACATTGGCATGATGGGACCCAAAGGTCCATGTGAGGAACTCATTGTCAAGCACCAGGGCAGCCTCAAGTACTCAGTCAACTACATAGTCAAGGACAGTGGACGCTATATGCTCATCATCAAGTGGGGTGACCAGGAGATCCCTGGCAGCCCCTTCGCTGTCGAGGTCCAGTAGGATGCCGTTCTCATTTAATAACATTTAGTACTAATGCAAATTATTGTGCATTTGATTTGAAACATGAATTTCCTTGATGTGTGTTGATGATGAAATGCTGAGCGTACAAGTCAGTGACAGATTGCTTTTAGCTAGGTACCACTGGACACAAGTGGTCACTGGTCATCACTTGTAAACACGACGTTCTGGAATCAACATTGGTAATTGTATTTGGTGCTTTCATGCATTTATAAAAGAGAAGTGTAGTTGAAGATAGTTTGTCACTCTGCTACTAGTATCTCTAGGGGCTGTCTAAACATAGAATAACAAATAATTTGATGAAAACTAGTATTTCAAGTTTTTAAAACTGTATAAATCTTTGTTGAATGAAAGACTAGCACGTCCAGTTCAAAGTGCCTACTTCACGGTGTGATATTTTTTAATGAAAATTTTAAATTATTAGAAGTTACAATGAATTATTATTGATATAACTTTTTAACTCTTTGATAACAAAATTAAAATTTTTACTGGTTGTGAAATTTTCAAGATACATAACCATTGGGTTTTATAATAAAAAATTAACTAAAAGAAGAGTTTAAATTAATTTAAACAAAATAATTACATGAAGAGTTTTCTAGTAAATGTTTTTTCTATCTAGTTTTTTTTATCAGATTTTAAAAATAAAAAAATGTAAATAGTAGATTATTTTTGTGAGCTCTGACTGATTCATGTATTCTTTCATGTCTTGTGTCATCACTTATCTGGTGAGTACTGTTGTTTTACTCGCTCCTACTTCTGTGTTAGATCAAGGTGCTATTTCAAGCAATCTGGAACTTTATTTATGGTGGTTTAGTCCGACTTTCATTTTACTGTCTAAAGCGTGAGCACATCTCAGCGCCTGCTGTGTGTGCATGCGCTGGCGTATATTAGATTTTTAATTAACAATTTTGTTATTTAAAATGATATAGATCTTTGTGCTGTATGTTTTTTTATCTATACATAACACATATAATATATAAATCTATATTTATTATTGCCTCGTGTAGCAAAGAAAAATGTTTTGCATTCAGTCCCTGTAAATATGTGGCTGTTACGTTTAAAAAAAACTTTTTGCTTGTGATTTTTTTTTGTATAAAACTTGTCCTAATTTGCATATTGCTATATCTTTCATTTTTTTTGCTCTGATACAAACATGCCAGTTGTATTTTCCTGGGAATCAACTTCTGCTTTTGTTGTGAGGTTTTTGTAACTCATCATAGAAGACAGTCGTGGGACTGTGGCTACACCCTTCTGTAACATCATAGGGTGGTTTCTGTGAATGTACTACAACCTGCTGTAACATCATAGGGTGGTTTCTGTGAATGTATTACATCCTGCTGTAACATCATAGGGTGGTTTCTGTGAATGTACTACATCCTGCTGTAACATCATAGGGTGGTTTCTGTGAATGTTTGTAACAACATCATAGAGTGGTTTCTGTGAATGTACTGTAATGGATGTGTGGTTTATTGCCATGAAGAAACCAATCAAAATCTCATGCTGGCCATCAGCTCAATATTCTACTCATCTTGTGTTTGACTGCTAGTCTGTTGGCTAAAGTGCATATATTTCTCAAACTATAGGCTCTTTTATTAAATTTTTTTTGTAAACTTGGGCTCTGTGTTATTGATTCATAGGGTAGACTAATTTAGATTCATAGTGAACTAACATAACAGTTTACCACATTAATTTTTAAAAAGCAAATATAGGGGCTCTGGGAGGGAAAAGTCAGAAAAAAGCCACAAAAGAAAAATTAAATTGGAAAAAAAAATACGAAAAGGTTAATATTATTTAAAAAACAGTGAAAAGGTTGGAACAATCTATTATATATAAAATGATCTGCACTCTTGTAATATTTAATAAGTATTCACACACTCCATGCAAATACATATTTGTGACTTGTTCCTACAATCAAATTTATACTATAGGCCCTTGTTTGTCTTCACGTTTGTTAGGGGTGAAGGTATAGTTTAGTGAGGTGATGCTTAGTGCAACATTTAAAAGATAACTGATGGAGCTAGATCTAGTTTTGGCAACATTTCCGTCTATGGTCAGTCTAAAATCGCCCCGCCCTTCCCACCCCCAAACATCCCTTCTTGCACATGACTTGTTCTATCTACCCAACCGTATCGGTGACCAGCCCAGCAAGAAAATACCAGACTACGTCACAATGTGTCCAAACTCTCCAGTTTTCGTGCGTGTCGACTACACGCTGTGTCGGGGCTACACGCTGTGTCAGGCTACACACACAGAGGTTACATCCACCAGGAATGTTTCTTTGATGCACGGACTGCTGGTCAGCGGATGTTCCCTGGGGCCCGCCGTAATCTGACCTTTGGAGCACGCGGAGGTTCGCTTTGTCCAGATACCAACAAAAGGGGAGGGTGGGGCAGCACCCCAGATAACCAGCGTCAGTGGATGGGGGGGGGGGGGGGTCAAGCCTATCCGGATTGTCTGCAGGGCGCGGCATGCGAGAATTTCAATGAGCGGATATTTGCATAACGCTGGGTAAACTAATGGTTACAAACGCTACTGGGTATTTGACTTTTTTCTCCTACCTAGAATCGTAGGTAGCGATCTCTGTAGTGTAACACACAAAGTATTTGAAATCTGGGCAACAACCATCTGTCTAATGCCCTGGTCCTCCTACTTCCATGCCCTGTCTGCCCAGAGTGGACGTCTAATGACCAGAGTGGACGTCTAATGCCCTGGTCCTCCTACCTCCATGCCCTGTCTGCCCAGAGTGGACGTCTAATGGCCAGAAGTATCTGCTCCGAAACTCCGGACCAATTATTTTTCAGTAATGCAACCCCCCCCCCCACACACACACACATTGTGCAGATGATCCTCAAAGATAGGAATACCGTGTGCTGCTCACCAAGGGTTGACATTCGGAACACAAAGAATGGAACCAGAAAACCACTGGATTCATAGAATTACAGTGAATTCTTTGGTGCCAAGAGTTGAGTTCCTTAAACAGTTGCAGTTTTTCGGCAAGCGATTTTCCTAGCTCCCCCATGGACACTTCAAATATCTGAATCTCTGCTGTACACCTCAAATATCTGAATCTGCACGCCCCTCTCAAATATCTGAATCTACACACCTCAATTATCTGAATCTTTGTACACCTCTTTCAAATATCTGAATCTCTGCTGTACACCCCTCTCAATTATCTGAATCTGCACACCTCAATTATCTGAATATCTGCTGTACACTTCTAAAACATCTGAATCTCTGTACACCTCTCAAATATCTACTGTACACCTCTCAAATATCTGAATCTCTGTACAAAAAGGTTCGACTGTCCACTGTCCAAGTGTTAACAGTGGACTAAACAGGGTTTGTTGACGCCCCTTCCTCACTAATAGCTAGAGATGATATGAATACTAGCAGCATACAAAGCCGACGGATGCATTAAAAGAGAACTGGCTTTTAAGTTTTATGTCTGGCTTAGAACTCGACTAAAATATTCAAAAACATTTATAACAACAAGCTTTTATTTATGAGCTAAAAGATTAAAATATAATTCTTTGAATCTATTCACATTTTTGGTGCATAAATAAAATCCTGTTATTAAAAACGTTTAATATAGGCTATTTTATTTTTACTTTTGGCATCAAGAAAATTTTAAAACGCGAACATTTTGGTACTTCATAATAATATAGCAAATTTGAAAAATATAATGAATGAAACATCTAACTAAGATAATGCCACATTGTATTACGGGATCTTGAATCAAATCTGCTGGCGTGAAGTGGAGGAAAATGTGTTTCCACACATGACGACAGACAAAAATAAAACTGATTTTTAAAATCTTGTACAAAAAAAAATAAACACTAGCAATTCTACTAAGCACATACTTTGATAAAATACAACACTTAAAATAAATTGAATATTTTATAATAAGCTTTTTAATGCACTGAAAATAAGAAAATAAAACGTATTTGCTTTCTTTGGACTCTAAATTATGTGAGAAATCAATGCCTTTTATTAATGAAAGCAGTTAGTTTTTTTTTTAAATTTAACTTTTATAAAAAAAAGGAAACGGAGAAGATTAGTAGATTAATTGAATTTATAATAATAGCAGTAATGTTATTGGATTGACAATTCTAACAAAAGGAAAAGAAACCAAGTAAAGGTGCGATATTTTAATAGTGCGTTTAGAGCTTTTGGAGAAACGAGTAGTAGCCCTTTATTTGATAAATATTATCTTTTCGTATTTTAATTTCATTATTAGATTTAGATTTCATTTTTAAAAAGTGAAACCTGCTGCATCCACAGTCTGTCTAAAATTAAAACTATATTTGAACAGCCCTTTTGTCAAAATTAAAGTCAGTAGTAAACAGTAGGTCCTATGTCGATGTTAAAGGTTGAGAATTTTAAGAAAAATATTAAACCGCGTCTTAGGCGTGAGTTAGTTAATATTAGAAACAAAGTAACCCACAGTCAAACAATTTCTCACAACATAAAAACCATTCAATAACTTTTGCGATATTTCAAACTGCAGCTGCAACTAGATACGAGTCTAGAGTTTCACATCTTCATGGCTTCTTCGTGATCGCTCTCTAGCGCGTTCCTCTCAAGAGTTTCTTTTCAACATTATTTTGCGCCGATAAATTTCTAAATCGGAAATTAACATTTATACAGTAGATATCGACTTTAGGCTACTATTGTTGAAGTAATCAATATTTATTCAGCTCATTGTTTTTTAGGGGGGAACGATTCAGGTTTGCCGATTTAACCATTAACAAAGTTTAATTTCAATAAAAGAAAATTGAAAATTGCGATGACAAGTTTTTAAAACCTCAATTTAAAAAAAAAGAAATTAACAATTGCTGGAACTAATTTGCAAATAATTGCATATTTCTTACTGTAGCTCAGTCATTTAGAACTTGTATGTCATCGGATACGATCCAAGTACCAATGATTTTTTTAAAAATATAAATACAATATTCAATGTAGTAAGCAAGTAAAAATTAATGCATTTGGAAATTTATTCATTTAAATTCTGTTAATTTAAAAAATTCTAAATCTTAGTTTCGATGTAAAAAAAAAAGTTTTAACCCTATACCTGGTGTTTAGATCTATACCATGGCCAAAATGGGCTACGGTTGCCCGAGAAACAAATAGACCCAGCAGTGAATGAAAAGTTAGACCACTGGTCTGTCTTGTCGCGACGGTGGTGGGGGAACAGTGGTTGAAATCAATTTTAAGCAACAAATATGTCACTTGTAAATAGTTACATAATAAAAAGCACAACGTAAGCTACATTTTAATTTACATCATGAAGACAATGCCTCTCGTTTAAAACAAGCTATTATTGGGGGAAAATGTAATACCTTTGATGAAAGAATATTGATGGTTAATCAAATCGTTATGCTGTATCTGGTACAAATTAATAATAATATGCTAATTGGCTAGGCTAGAACCAATTATCGTAAAATCGGACAAAAAGAGTAAACCTTATCCACAAACATTGCACATCGATATTTTACTGGTCAACATATACACACTACATTCAAATAACTTACTGCACACCGGACAGTAGATGGGCATCGGGCAATGTAAGGTACGGTGGTTGTCTTTAAATTATTCCAGGTGGCACCACTATAACCAATACTAAGGTTTTGACTAATTTGGTGAATCGTTTGTTAAAAATACATTGCCTTAATAATAATTTACTGACAACTCATAGTGGTTAAATTAACACGGGCGTTATTTTACACTACACCGTGTCGTAATAATGCTAACTGGGCAAATAAAACATTTCCGCGTTAGAAAATTTCATGAACGAAAAATTAAATGAATGAAAGTTGAAACAGTGAAACTGTTTGCCACATGCAGCATGAGTGCGAAGTGCTGAGCTGCAGAAACTCTTCGCAAGGAAATCACAAATCTGCCCGTTACGACATCAATGACAGCGGCTGTTTAACTAGGACAAGTCGTGTGAGCAGACTTCATTTATAGACTTGGGTTACGCGCGAGTTTCATTCATAAAGTTGTGAGTAGTAAATCCACCCACCCGCGTGGTGGGGTGGGGGGGGGGGGGGGGTAGTGCGGGGGATGAGCGAGTGGGCACACGACATACTGGCCGCAGATCAATATTTGTCTTGTTACCGCTGGCCGTTAAAACACGTTTAAAACAACAAAACAAAAATCTGTTGCTGGGAGATCTCGTGCGCTTGTGTCACGTGACCACATCTGACCAGTGGCGGCGATGATGAACATTCAGACGTCAAGTATCAAGTTCCGGGGAGGGGCGGGTGGGGCGACAAGATTATTCTGTCATTTTGACGTCGGTCTTCTGCTGTACGTCTGCAGCTGTGACGTCAGAGGTCAATGTGCAACTCATAAATGGGTTTTTATGGCCATTGCTGTCTGGGGATTTGTGACGTCAGTCTGGCCATCGTTGTATGGGGATTTGTGACATCAGTCTGACCATCGTTGTATGGGGATTTGCGACGTCAGTCTGACCATCGTTGTATGGGGATTTGTGACGTCAGTCTGACCATCGTTGTATGGGGATTTGCGACGTCAGTCTGACCATCGTTGTATGGGGATTTGTGACGTCAGTCTGACCATCGTTGTATGGGGATTTGTGACGTCAGTC